AAAAAAAAAAAAAAAAAAAAAAAAAAAAAAAAAAAAAAAAAAAAAAAAAAAAAAGTATGCACCTTTGTATTATCTGTAAACATGAGCTAAACGAACGCTTGTGTTGCATGAATACCTATATACGTACGTACGTGTACACACTGTACGAGTGAAAAATCGGTAGCGGGGATTCAAGGCCGCGATTGAAAGCGTCAGTCGTGCAAGAGCTATATACGCACCAGCTGCATCGGCATCACGTCCTCATTTTGTAAAGCCGCGGATAGGAAAATCAACAACAACAGCAGCAGGAGCAGCCATAACACTCCGATTTCTACACGAGTGAGCGTGAGTGTCTGCACGGGGTGAGTATAAAAATTAAGTATTTGCTTCAACACGCCACTTGAGCAGGTGAGACCGGCAATGCACGTAGCACCGACGCCGGCCTCTGACAACACTCATTGAAACACTTTGCAAGATGTAGAACTCTCTTTATAAAAAAAAAAAAAAGGAAAAAAAAAGGAAAAAAAAAAAAAAAGAAAAATCCGACAAAACGACGAGATATGACTATGTGTGCGTATACATACGTGTGTCTCGCGTGTTTTTCATCTACTCTCGACCACAATCGTCATCCGGGCCCGTCGCGTCTTATCACTCGCGCGCGCGTCGGCTCTAGCGACCAATAGCTTTTGATTTTGGGCTCACGCCATTCGCACCCCGTACAATACCTTAAGTGTATATTATACATCACCACCAACTTGATATTATGGTCAATCGTTAATCAAGTATATATATATATATATGTGTGTGCGTGTGTATTTTTCACGTGCGTATATATATAATACATGTATGTATATACCTATTGTGAGTAGGAATTAATTGTGTCATCGAGTGGCCCAAATCCATATACACGGGGTCATATTGTACGACCGCGCGGAGGGTGTCCGACCCAATCACGCGATTTATATATATAAAACAAACTCGCGCGAGTACACACACAACACGTTGACTGAGCGCTGAAACAGCTGGAGATCGGCAATCGCGACCCTCGACGACTGATCCGCTATTTTTCTTTTGAGCTTGCGGGCGTTCAAGTTTTATACATATACATATACTTCACGGTAGGACGAGTTTATTTGTTGACGCAACTTATACATCTGACACGAGCACTCACGCGTCACTTATTTTATATATACATTTATATATACTATTTTTTAAATAATATATACTTGCTCGATTGCACCGTGGGACAAGGAAAAATGTGAGAGAATCGAGTGACAGACGAGAGATGGGGAAAACATTTGAGGGGGGTTGGAGTTTGATAGGGAGAGAATGATTTATTTATTTATTTATGATTATTGTTTATGCGTATTATTTATTTAGCATTTACCTAAGAGAAGGAGGAGATGGTGAATCGTAACGGATGGTGATGACGATCTTCTCTCGAGTGCCAATTTATATACGACACGTTTTTACTTTACTCACGCATACATGATATTTATTTATTTATTTATTTATTTATACATGTATATGTGTATGGATATGTGCAACAGATACATTGTCGTTAGGTTGCATTGTGTTGTTGTTTTTTTTTTTTATTTTATTTTTTTCTTTCTTTTGTATACCATCACTCGTGTGTGACTTATACTCAAATATTTTTTATCAAAATAAATTTTCAAACGAGTTGCCTTTGAACAAAGGAAGAAAGACAAACTATCGTTTTATCAAGCACGCGAAATCAAAGAAACATGATTATTATTTTTTTTTTTTTCGCACACCTGCACATATATATAAATATACATATGCATATATAAAATACATATTTAATGATACGAAACTGTACAAAGACTATATATGTTCTCGAGACCTTATCTTTTTTTTTTTTTTTCTTTAAGAGACAAATATAAATAACTGTTTATATTGACGAAAAAAAAAAAAAGACTCTTGTGTTTGACTTTTATTTTTTACTCTCACCATGTGATACATTCTCACAAAAAAAAAAAAAAAAAGAAAAAGAAAACCACTCATCTATTATGTATACACCCACTTTACCATACGTACACGTATAAAAATGAATATGATAATAAAATGACTTTTAGCGCTAGATGGAACGATTTCTCGACAGTTGTTGATTGATTTTATCCGGTTGTATTTACATTTCACACGACCATCACTCGCTCAACCATAAACGCGACTTGCCGATCTCCGACCACTCTGTATTTTAATGCTCGTATTCACGACCACACCGACAATAACCTACCTTATGATTAAGCAAAAGCCAAAAAAGCTCGAGCCATCCGACACGAATCGTGCCTTTTCCTTCTACACACATCGGTGAGTGATTAAAACGAAAAAACAAAAACAAAGACACTCCAACCGATGTACATAAATCGGTAACTACCATCCAACTCGGTAGATTTTTTTTCTTCTTTGCTTCAACCAATTTACCTGTAAGTACACGCGTCATCGATACAATGTTCCATCACTCCGCGTAAACGAAGAGTTCGCTTTCTATGAGCGGCCAAACGATCCGGTGACCTAAACCCGATCATTGTAGCCCAATTGTTGATTATAATCGTAAAATTTCTAAAAACGCTCCAACGCGTTGGACGGGTACAACAGCAGCACTTGTGGTACCTGTGTCACGTGAGTAAAGTTTTCGGGGGCACGCAGCATCGTTCCCCGCATCCGAGAAATGACGAGCGGCGACGAAAAACGGCGCGCCGTAAAATAACGGGGTCAACCGAGGGACGGGTTGCGGACGCAAATCAGCTTTCACCGGAGAGCCGAAATGGGGCCGACGACCCACCGGCTCCGATGACCGTGAGATCGACGTCCGGCCGACCCTGACCCACTCGCGCTCTTATACATACATATACCAATATACCATCCTCTGACGCCTCGCACACACTTTTTTCATGCACCTCGTAATATTACCAATACATCCGGCTTTCGCTCGCCCCTCGTCTTTTATTTACCACCATACACGGGTGTGCGTGTGTACACACGTACTAAAGTACCTGGGTAAATTTATACTTGGCTTCGCGAGAGTAAGAGTCTATAATACATATATATATAACCCGATGAGTTTCGTAACTTTAAATTGTACTCGCTCGTTTACCGACGTATATACACATAACAACGCATGCCCATACACGTGTACTGACACACACACTTGCGCCTTATACCTTTGTAAGTCGAAATAAGGCGGCGTTATACGTGCACGGCAATTAATTTAAACACTTACGCACTCGGTGTCGGTCCGACAGTTAAAAGTATACTCGTATGGTTTGGTTTATATTTTTCGTTTCGTTTTATTGGCCTTTTTGAATTACGATCAAACAATTAGCGCTCGAGCCTTTGCGGAAGCCGTAAGTGCATGCGCCCGAGCGCAACGCTATATATTATATTCGGCTCCTTCATGTATACACACTATGGTCGCGTACATGAGATGTTTAACACGAGAGTTGCGGTTTTCGTGGGTTAATACGCACGAGATGCTGTACGACGTAAAAACGAGCCCCCCCCCTCTCTTGTACATATACACGTATACATTTGTTAGGTGGACGTGATAAAACCATCTGCTCGTATACGGTGTCATATGCGATAAATTTTACGGGAGGTAAAAATAGGTAGTCAGCACGTTAATGGACTATTTTAAATCAGGGTGAAACATGGCGTTTTTTACATCAAAGACGAGTTGCTCACTTGACTGTGCTTATATTCGGTGGAAGTATAACGAGCGTCGATTCAGGAGGTATATTATATCGCCGAGTGTAACTTTCTATTTTATGTAATATGTGGTGCTACGGGCTGGAGATTGTAGCAGATTTTTCAACGAGGTTTTATACATATCGATGTTTAATTTGCTGCACAGGAAAAAATATAATACAATAATGCCTGCAGTGATGTTTCGTCGTTTGTACATAAGAATAACTTTTTACTGCTTACACCTGTACATCTGGTATAGATATAGGTTTTACCGTGAAAATTGTAAAAATGGTAATTGCTGGTCTGAATTGTAAAAAGTCCCTAGATGACAAAACGCTACTAACTTACAATATACTTATGTTTAAGGTACATATTGCACTCGATCAAAATCAAGGGATTTCGTTAAACCTGAAAAAATAGTCAAGTTCAGTTAAACGCTCCTATTTTCTTCTTTTTATCATCAAAGTTAAAATTCTCATGTCCCAGGAAAGGAAAAAAATTAATATTATTAAAAAAAAATTAACTGCAGTTTACTTTTCACGAGAGAAAAATCGCCATGTTGTCTGTAATACTAATCATTACTGTATTTCTCCTGAAAGAGCAAGTAAAAGTTAAGAGATCGCGTTCAACTTCATTCGCGCCGTGTAAGTTTTTACGCTGTTCGTCCTGATGATCTCAGTATACCGTATTAATCGATCCGAGAAATAATAGATACCGAAAGTTAACGGTGTAGAGCGTAACTTGGAGAAGCTCTAATGTATATGTTTGACGTATAAATCTTACAAATTAAATAACCATTTCAGCCGTAAAGATTTTCGCAAAATATCCAGCACTGAAGGTGTAGACACTCTAGAGACCATAGTTATCAGTGGTAAACCTATATTATTCTATTAGTGTTAAAAGCACGTGAANGTGTGTGTGTGTGTGTGTGTGTGTGTGTGTGTGTGTGCGCACGGACCGGGAGCTTAAGGTACTTTCGAATAAAGCGATGACAATGAGCGTATATGATACATCTACAGGTACGTTTGCTCGGCTCGGGCGTGTAACGTGTGCATGCATATATAAACATTGACCCGGTTACAGGGGCGGAAGACGCGCGCGCGGACGGAGAGAAAGAAATAAACAAACAGCGGAGAGAGAGCGGGCGCGGAAACCGGTCGGGCCCGAAGATGCGGCGTCGATGTACCGTTAAACGCCGGACACTCCTTGCGCCGCTCTTGATTCTTTTTAAAAGTAGGCTGGCTTCTGGCGTACCTATGTATGTGTGTATACTTACGTATGTAAAAAAACAAAAAACAAAAAAAAAAAAAAAACATTCCAAAGTAGAAAAATCGGTTGGCCCCCTCAAGGCCGCGATCGGTGGACGCGATGTTTGTGTCATCGAGTGGCCCAAATCCATATACACGGGGTCATATTGTACGACCGCGCGGAGGGTGTCCGACCCAATCACGCGATTGACAATTTCGTGGCAAATGTACCCTACATGCGTGCCGAATGTTGTGCAACAGGTGGCATGATGTCGACGCCTAAGGTGGACGCCCCGATGTACGTGGCCAAGTACAACCGCATCTTCGACGAGATACTCGGCCTGATCAACAAGATACTCAAGGAGAGGTACGACCCGGTGACGGTGAAGCTCGCGAGTCCGAGCACGAGCTCCAAGGGCAAGAGCCCCAAGAGGCGCAAGAGCAGCCACAAGAGCCGCACGAGGAAGACGCCGCAACAACTCGAGCCGGCAGCGCCGCGCACCACCGACGACTCGGAGCACCAGCCCCTCGTGCCCGTCAACGACACCACCGCCAATGTCACGCACCAGGTGGGTTTCACATACAATCAAACCCGTGCTCCCTGTTATTCTTGTTTTTCTACCCGACTCTGATGGAAAAAAAAATTCGACCGATGCGCTACAGGTGGAAAAGGCCGCCTCGACGTCCGCGAGTCCAATCACCGTCACGACTGCCGGGCTTTCTGGAACGCGGCTCGTGACTAAGCCACCAACCCCATCGGTTCCGAACCGGGGCTCCCCGCAGCCGAAAAAGACGACGGCGACGACGAAGAAGAAGAGCAAGAACCCCAGCGGCACAAAGAAGAGGAAGCCCACCAGCAGCAACAAGGTTTTTTGGCATCACCGACATTGTTGTGGGGGTAGGTTGTTTTTTTTTTTTTTTTAACACCCGGGGTGTGCTCGAGCAGGTGAAGGAGACGGGGGCGAGTGGCAGCAAGAAGCCGCGGTCCAAGGCGAAGGCGACGTTGTACGGGCTCGCGTCGCTGAAGCGCTCGGGGGACGTGACGGTGAACATGATGAGCGACCGCACGACGGTGTCGGCGAAAATCGCTTTCGGGCCGCTCAAGCTCAAGGTGGAGAAGGAGTTTGGTCGGTCGACGCGCAAGGAGGTGCGCAGCGCTACCGCGACCACGGCCGAGATGTCCGGGAGGCTGAGCTTGCGGATTTACAACGGGGGCGCGGCCACCTTGCACTCGATACGCGTGCTTCAGCCAAAGCAGGTAATGTGGTGTCGAAGAGGAGAAAATTAAAGGATATTAGGTATGATTACATGTGTTTGTGTGTGTGTGTGCTCGTAGATGAGGATCGAGAGCGCCGATGACCACGACAGGACGCGCGAGTTTGTCTGGAAGCGCTCGTCCCACATCGCTCACGTGGTCTCGCAGAAGCTCTCCTCGGCGGCTCGCTCGATGCTGCGGCCACCGCCACTCGATCCGAGCCAGCACACGGCGGAGATCAAAGTCGCGCCTGTGGTGTAAGGGCTGCCCCATTCGCGCCGGAGCTCTCATCTTTTAGTTTTCATTCACGCACTTAGCTTGTTTATTTATTTATTTATTTATTTGTTTGTTTGTTTACTGCGTGTAGTTTGCTCACTTATTTATATGTTCTTTCATTATTTATTTATGACTGTATACCATACTATCGTGATTTTTTTTTTTTTACATCAAATAATCGGTATGATTTTTCGTACTTACCGATCGTCACTTGTTATTGGCTTTTCATTTACAATTGTAGGTAACATTGTAAATTTTTCCCAAATTTGGACGTTTAATCCTCGAATTGGAATATTTTACTGTGCCCCACTTCTTTTGGGAAAATATAATTTCATCTAATGGTGACGATTTCGTTGTAGTAAAGATTGGAGACGCGTGTGATCGGCAAAAATTATTTCATTATCAAACGATCGGTATATTTTTTTTATGTTTTTACTCTTTGGGTTTTGCATGTTTTAGAGTTGTCGTTAAAATCAACGAGCTCTTTTATACTATGAAATAATCCATTTTCAACCGGTTCGTTGTCGGTATGCCTTGGCGACGCGTAACATTGTAAATAGCTAATTTAATTGATCCAACTAATAAAAAATTTTCACACAACAGTACAATTACGAATCATTGCTTCACCATAAAAAAAGATACATATATATACCGATCAATATATTGTCTACGACGTAAATAACGTAAGTATTCCTTATATATATATGTACCGATATATATATTCCTTATATATATACACCGATAAATACTAAAGATAGCGTTTCATCATTTCTTTTATTCGTCGATGACAATGTGCATTCTGCCAGTGAACAGTGATAATTATACATAAGTATAGGGTAAGTAAAGCACCAACCTACCGTCGATAAAAGCACAAACACACGACGAGACACTTTAGCTTTTATTTTAATTTGAAATGGGTAGGTAAGTACATAAAAGTAGATAATCAGCTATACATATATATATATACATATGCGGTTAACGTTAACACACACACATGAACACTGTAAGGAGTGTCAAGTAAAATCAAAAACTGTAATCATTGTTTTCAATGGTTTACTTATACTTGCCAGTGTACATTGTAGCAAGTATACACACAACGTACATTGCATATACGTCTCGGTAACAAATTATATTATAGTATATACACTGCACGTGCCACAAAAAACAGGAGCGCGTATATCAGCGATAAGAGCAAAAAAAAAAAACAAAAAAAAAAAAAAGTATGCACCTTTGTATTATCTGTAAACATGAGCTAAACGAACGCTTGTGTTGCATGAATACCTATATACGTACGTACGTGTACACACTGTACGAGTGAAAAATCGGTAGCGGGGATTCAAGGCCGCGATTGAAAGCGTCAGTCGTGCAAGAGCTATATACGCACCAGCTGCATCGGCATCACGTCCTCATTTTGTAAAGCCGCGGATAGGAAAATCAACAACAACAGCAGCAGGAGCAGCCATAACACTCCGATTTCTACACGAGTGAGCGTGAGTGTCTGCACGGGGTGAGTATAAAAATTAAGTATTTGCTTCAACACGCCACTTGAGCAGGTGAGACCGGCAATGCACGTAGCACCGACGCCGGCCTCTGACAACACTCATTGAAACACTTTGCAAGATGTAGAACTCTCTTTATAAAAAAAAAAAAAAGGAAAAAAAAAGGAAAAAAAAAAAAAAAAAAAAGGAAAAAAAAAGGAAAAAAAAAAAAAAAGAAAAATCCGACAAAACGACGAGATATGACTATGTGTGCGTATACATACGTGTGTCTCGCGTGTTTTTCATCTACTCTCGACCACAATCGTCATCCGGGCCCGTCGCGTCTTATCACTCGCGCGCGCGTCGGCTCTAGCGACCAATAGCTTTTGATTTTGGGCTCACGCCATTCGCACCCCGTACAATACCTTAAGTGTATATTATACATCACCACCAACTTGATATTATGGTCAATCGTTAATCAAGTATATATATATATATATGTGTGTGCGTGTGTATTTTTCACGTGCGTATATATATAATACATGTATGTATATACCTATTGTGAGTAGGAATTAATATTGGTATCAATAATACTCAAAGCGTCGAGAGCTCCCAAAAAAAGCTTGATTCGCGATCGGTGTTTCGATTGAAACTGTATATAGACCCCGTGCATATAATTTGTCAAGTTCGCGGGTGCATGTGAGTTGTTCCGTGGCTACATATATATACTATGTTTTGTCATCCGTGGGAGTTGTACGCGGGTAACGCGCATCGACGGTATGTATATATATATATACGCGCGTTTTGTTGTTAGTTCATCTGCAATGCAAAAGTTGTACATACTTACGTGACAATATACGTTAACCTTGACTACGAGCATATAAACATGTAGGAATGAAGCGAGACTTATGGAAAGGGAATAAGAAGTCGAGTAAGAGAGAGTGTTGTAAGTTGCGTTGCACCCGTGTGTTGTTTAATGAAGGCAACTCTCCTGGTTGACGGTACACGAATCGGTACTTCCATTACAATAACAATATACATTCAGCCATTCGTAAACTATATATACACCTAAACAAGTGTTACAACCATACTTTTTATCTCTCGTCGCTGGCGAATAATTACATCTCTATCTGTGCTTGCAAGCTCGATTGAAAAGAAAAAACATCCGATGATCGGTTTCACTCGCTCGATCCTGCTATTGCGATCAAATTTTATTTTTTACATGTAAACAAACGCCACGACTGCTCGGGCTTTGCGTTTTCAGTGTCTTTTCAATTCACGCGATACGCAGCGCGTTTAACGATTCCGACGAACCGATATACCCAAGTACTCGTATCGCACGGACGAGCGCTATTTTTACGAATATTTTCTCGAACGATGCGTCAGGTATCGTCACGTGCTATTAATATACACACGAAAATACAGCGATATCGAAAAAGGAAAAAAAAAAAAAAAAAAACAACAAAAGAACAATGCACACCGGCTAACGAGTGTTTATACATGTTTATACGTATATGCGTGTAGCTGTACCTGTTTAATCTCATCGTCAAGTGCGTCTCGTAAATAAAAAGAAAGACAAATCACAACAACAAAAGGATGATAACAATAACAATGATGTAAGCGCAATATGTGATACGCTTTTATATATATATATATACATGATAAAGACGCCGGGGCTCGGTGTGTTAAATTGTAATTCCAGGTTTGCCGTCAGTCAGTGGCGCGGAGGGCCAAAGAGGAGAAGTATAAGCAAGTAGAGTTCGACATGGTGCTGGTCCTGCAAGCGGTGCAACGGCGACTCCAGCAGCGGGGCTGCCTTTTGGCCCTGGGCCGACGTCACTCCCGGGGCTCCTCGTACTCGACTCTCGAGCGACAGCCACGCGAAAAGTTAGAGGAGCACCAGGAGCAGGCCACCGACCGAGAGGTCGTGCTGCGCTACCTCGACGGCAAGGACAACGGAATAGCGGTGCTGGGCCTGAACCGGCCTGGCGCCCGCAACGCCCTGGGCAGCCGGCTCTTGGCCCAATTGTCCGAGGCGGTGGAGCGACTGCGCCGGGACGAGCGTCTACGAGTCTTGGTGCTCCGTAGCCTCGTGCCGGGTGTCTTTTGCGCCGGGGCTGACCTGAGGGAACGCGCGCGCATGAGTCCCGAGGAGGCCGGCCGGTTCGTCGACGCTTTGCAGGGCCTCACGCGCAAGCTCGAGGCGCTGCCAGCGCCCTCTGTCGCCGCCATGGATGGCAGCGCCCTCGGTGGTGGCCTCGAGCTAGCTCTGGCCTGCGATTTGCGGACGGCCGTGGCCGGGGTGAAGTTGGGCCTCGTTGAGACCAAGCTGGCCATCATACCCGGGGCGGGGGGTACACAGAGGCTGCCTCGGCTACTCGGGCCCGCTCGAGCCAAAGAGCTGGTTTTTGCGGCGCGCCTGCTCTCGGGTAGCGAGGCTCACGATCTTGGACTCGTGAATCGGCTGGTCGCTCAGAACGAGGCTTCGGATGCCGCTTACCAGGAGGCGCTGCACCTCGCCCGGGAAATCCTGCCCAACGGTCCCATAGCGGTCAGGTATGCTTGTGTTGCTTGAAAACTATTGCCAGGATGCTTGGATTTTGGTGACCTTTTTTGTTTTCTGGTAGGATGGCCAAAGTTGCCATTTCCAAGGGGATGGAGGTGCCGCTGGAGGATGGCTACGGGATCGAGAAACAATGTTACGCGCAGCTACTCAACACGGAGGACAGAATCGAGGGGCTCCAGGCTTTCCATTCGAAACGGCCGCCCATTTATCGGGGTCGGTGAGAGACGCGGGCTTTTCGATTATTGCCACAACTGATACCGATCACGGTTTCTCGGGCGGTGCTTTTTTATTATTTTTCAACCAATTTTTCAAGTTGAATCGATACTTTGTAACCTTGGGCGTGGTTTGCCTGGAGTTTATCCAAGTTGTTTTATAATATGTACTAATATGCCAAAAAATTTTTAAAAGAAAATGAAATAATTTGTGATACAAACGTTATAATCGGTATATATTATATGCGGTGTGTTTTTTGTACATTCGACGCAAATGTAACACGTTGTCGTTGCGGTTGACTAATACATTATCTACATTTTTCTCTTGTATGTAATAATAATAATTTTAACTACAAAATTTATCTCGTCAATGATAAACTGTTGATAAATTTATTTTTCTTTGTGACTTAAATGTACATCTATACACATATTATACGCATGAACAACAGAAGTATATCGGGTAACAATATTAAAGGAATATCGTAACAACCCCCAAGCTCTACTTTCATAATATATACACGTGCACGGACGAATCAGGATTTTTAAAGTAATAATACATATGCGATGGTTTACTGATGAAAGGTTATTAGATCCAACACCATGGGGCGAACTGCACAAAAAAGCACTTCAGATGTTATTTTGTTTAATGCTTTTTTCGTCCACAAACTTGATCAACGTCTCCAGTTGTTTTAAAGTATCGTCCGGATCAGTCACTCTGTGCCCCACAGTCAGGTCACTTTCGTAGATCTCGTAATCATTGCCTCCTTCTCGCGTCTTATCACCAAAGAAGTGAATTTCGTTGTAACCCGTCACGTGCTTCAAGCAATACGTCTTGTCCCACCCGGTGGGAAAAACATCAAATGAAATTTGTCCACCTGCGGAAAAATAAGATTACTCTGATAAAAAAAAAAAAAGATTAACGTAGCTTAGTGTTATATTGCGTGCAAACTTAAAACAATACCTATACTGTACGTGACGTGCAAATGTGTAAACTCCTTTTTCAGTGCTTGAATAAACTTTTCTCGTACGTGATGTTTCGCGTCGTACTCGTAAAACTGGTTGCGCTCTTCTATCGTGCAATTTCTACCCACTGGAGAAATGTTGATCATGCCAGTTCTGAATTCAATGAAGTTGCCTCTCTTGAAGGGTAATCTCAGTTGGGATATGTAATGCAGAGAAAAGTTTATGAAATCCTGCAACTTTTCTTCCCCAATTTCACTCAGAATAGTCTAAAAATCACAGTGTATTATGCAGGGCTTACATTGTATCTATTTCATGTTAAAAGAAAAAACAAAAGTATTTACCTTCGACCATATTTTTTTTTCTTTTCTATAAGCAACTAAGCCATTCTCAGCGAAAACGTAGTCATACTTTGTGAATACATCTTCTCCCAATTGACGTGTTAATTTACTCAAGTCCGAGCCACCAACGACAGCTACGTCGAATTTCGACCTTAGTGTATTTTGTATGTAGTTATCGAGGCTTTTATCAATGCACTACGGCATTAATAACAAGAGATCAAATGATTAGTTGTGGATACATGTTTTTGCTAAAAGGAAGAAAAAAAACAAAATATCTGTATTTACCTGTTGAGGCATCGTAAGAGTACCATCAACGTCGAATAAGCAAATGATTTTTTTCGACATGATGAGCCGTTTCAATTTTTCTATTTTTTCTGTAAAAATTTTTACAAAAATCGTAGAATTCGTTGCATGTACCCGCGGTAATGTTAGTAAGAATAATAATTCATCAGATATATATAAACAGATTCATCCACGGTCTTATTAGTATACAGTTTTGTTTGTTGTACGTATTTTGATCTACTAAACACAAATTATCCAGTCATGGCCAAGCAAATTCTTTATTAACATTTTTTAATATTAATATGAAAAATAAATAATTTTTTTTTTTTCGGCAATACATTAATTTCCTAAAAACTATATGCCAAGAGCTTATAATACAAATACAAATAGAAATTACTATGACAAAAAAATTGCCTCAATGCGTGTTTTCCAAAATGTTGACAATAAAAATATACTAAAATAACCACTAAAAATACGTTAAATACGTAAAAAAGTTTCATAGTTAATCTATGATGCAAATTGTTAAAATAAATTTATCTCGCCACTTTCTAAACTTAGGAAAAGAAAGAAAAAAAATTGCATTTCAAAAAGCAAAAATTCGGGGGAAAAAAATATGATAAGGCCGACGAATAAAATATACATGTATTGCGTTCGGCGCTTCAGTGCTAGTTTTCTGTTTTATCAGCAGTGGAGATTTTGAACACTCCCCGAGACGCTCATTGTCATATATAGTATCATCACAAAAGAAACCAAAACAGAGTGGCCCTAAATTTTACATTAGCAGACAAGGAGTGAGAAAAAAAATACCACCATGACCTATATTTCCTCACTAATAGTAAAAAAAAAAAAAAAAAAAAAAAAAAAAAAACTGATGACCTAGTCGAATAAAATGAAATGAAATCCAACCCTTATTTATAAAGAAGAAAAAGTTGATTTTTCCACAGATTTTCTGTTTGATCAACGTGGAAAAATAACTCCATTTATCAATGAGTGCTCTTAAAAATGAAAAAAAAAAAAAAAAAATTTTTACACGTTGCTCACGTCCACGTAAGCGCGTTGCATGTAAACAGTCACGTGTTAGAAATGGGTGGGCATTGCCCTCGTATACGAATCAATTGTCCGAGTTAAATACAAACCGGTAAAATACAACACGATACTTAGCACGCAAGTTGTATAAAGTGCAATCAAGAGCCGAATGAAATTTCGGCGTGTCAGTCGATGACCAAGTACTCATGGTACTCTCTCACGACGAATTGTATCATGTGTCCTATGTTGGATATACTAATATGTATCAACTCACCCTATAAAGCACGTGAGCGTATTCAAAAATAAGTAAGTACTCGCGTGCCGATGAAAAACTCCAAAATTACACGATCACGAGGACGGCCAAACGTCAAAGCAATGTGGGCATACACCGTGTGTATCAAAAGCGTAAAAAAGAAAGTGCGTGCACGGAAAGCTTGTCGTGCTTATGGTTGTACAAAAAATATATACGTACATGTACTATTGTATAGAGTTAAAAGTAAAAGCGGCACAGCGAGGCCACCGAGCTCGAGCTGTTGCTGATGGACTGGAGAGTATTAAAGCCGATATACGTATACAAGAGCCAAAGGAGAGAAAAGGAGCGTCAGATTACTGTATGTTGCGTGGCTCTCTCGCTCGCCCGAAACCAAGCGAAGAGAGTCGAAGGCGAAACGAAAGTTACAATAACCCAATCATACATAGATATACTCGCATCAGGTATACGAGTAAGTAGGGTATCGATGCGGGCATGCTAGCAGGATAACGCCTTTACAAACGGCGATCGGCTAGTGACTCCGATTTTTAAGGGGAAAATAATATTATACACTCTGCTCTCTTGTGCTCCAGTCGATCGACTCGTATCACGCGGTGTAAACAGCTATGCGAGTCAATTTTTCGAGGATGAGAAGCTGCCTCGTACATCAGCTGCTGCTGATACTTTTGCTGCTCACCGGCTATTCGCACGCCGATCCTGCCCCTCCGAAAAATGCACTTCTTATTTTGGGTGAGCACAACATCAACGGTATAATAAATTGTATTGTATGTGGGTATGCGTTTTTATACTTTGAGGGCACACTTGCACCAAAAGGACCTGACGCGCGCAACACAAATAATATTATACATTATCCTACGGGTGTACCATGAGCAACTGAAGCAACTATACTTATACGTTAATGTACAAATCATCAAAGTATATAAAAATTGTCGAGCGACCGAGTCAACTCAACTCGATTTAAATCGGCACGATTGTACTTATAAATATGTGTGTTTACTGTGTAATTGAGCAGCGGATGACGCGGGTTTGGAAATGAGATCTTATCTGAACAAAGTTTGCCAGACCCCGGAGCTCGACGGCCTGGCCAAGAGGGGCCTGATCTTCAACAACGCCTACACCTCGGTCAGCAGCTGCTCGCCGAGGTACGTGCATTGTACGGCCTATTTTTTGTGTACCTATAATGTAAAGGATCGTAGGTGTTTTTTGTTTCAACCGATTTCTTAAACAATGTTCCGCTCATTGGTTTCGCAAATTTGTGCGCGCTGTTGCAGTCGGGCATCTCTGCTGTCGGGCCAACCGAGCCATCAAAACGGCATGTACGGGCTGCACCACGGGATTCACCACTTTGACTCTTTTGGCGACATCCAGACTCTGCCGAAAATACTCAAGCGCAAGAACATACGCACGGGTGAGATGTATACTTTTTGGTACCTATCATTTATTGCTGACCCGGATATTTGCAACTATCACGAATTCATTTTGAATCGTTAGAATTTTTTTCTTTTTTTTTTTATGAGCAAAAATCAAAGAAATAGATTTGCCGACAAGACTTGGATACTCGTAACAAATAAACGATTCAATTCAATGAGATAATTTTTTTTTCTCTCTTTTTTTTCTTATCAAGTGCAATTTTTTTTGCTCCAGTACACCGCGGTTATAGTTATTATATTTAATACTGTGTTCGTTTGGCACGACAGGTATCATAGGAAAGAAACACGTGGGGCCGAAGAAGGCATATCCTTTCGATTTTTCCTACACCGAGGAAAACGAGTCCATCCTCCAAGTTGGCCGCAACATCACCCGGATCAAACTACTCGTTCGCGAATTTCTCGCTCAGAACAAAAGCCAGTACGTATAATTAAATTTCTGTCTGGGTCTTTGAAGACGCTTTAGACCTACGGCAATGAATCGAGACACGCAGGGGTCGATTAGTTACGGAGTGGTGATTTTTCGTGTCTAAAAAAAAAAAAAAAAAAAAAAAAAAAAAAAAAAAAAAAAAAAAAAAAAACGCTAAGTGAAATCCATCAAGATAATTGATTGTTCATACGGTTACATACACACCTACTCTCCCATACTTGGCAATTTACGAGACTAATACGAGTGATTTTTTTTTTTTTTTTTTTAAAGGCCCTTCTTTCTTTACGTCGCCTTTCACGATCCACACCGTTGCGGCCACAGTAACCCAGAGTACGGGAGCTTTTGCGAAAAATTTGGCAATGGCCAGCCAGGCATGGGGAAAATTCCCGATTGGTCTCCCATTTATTACCAGTGGGAGCAGGTGAAGCTGCCCTACCACGTCCAGGACACCGAGGCAGCGAGAAGAGACATTGCCGCCCAGTACACGACAATGTCTCGTTTGGATCAAGGTACACGCGCACAAAGATCACATCTCGCGCGAGATAACACGCGTCGTGCATGATGCATATGTTGTTTTTTCTTATCTAATCTGCTTTGTTTTTTGCGTTTGGCGATGATCGATTGCGGCGTTAGGCGTTGGTTTGATAATGAAAGAATTGGAAATGGCTGGAGTGAAGGACGATACTCTAGTCATTTACACCTCCGACAACGGGATTCCATACCCAAGTGGCAGAACAAATCTTTATGATCCAGGTTTTTAACTTCATCCACATCGTCAATGCATCCGATTTTATGATTAACGTGAAGAAAATCTGCATTTTTGTGCTTATTTAATATACAGGTATGATTGAGCCAATGATCTTATCATCGCCAAAGCACAAACAGAGGCACAATCAAGCCACATACAGCATGACTTCTCTTTTGGATATCGCACCAACGTTGATCGATTGGTTTGGCGTTACTGGGGATAAAAAAGTTAAAAAATATCTTTCAACTTTGACTGGAAAATCGTTGTTGCCTTTGTTGGAAAAAGGTTGCCAGCCGCCGATACAGCTATTTAGTGTTTCTAAAATCAATCGAGTCAGTAATGGTGTAATATTTTTTCCACCCTAGAACCAGCTGAGAACAGCTCGGATGCGGTTTTTGCAAGCCAAACTCATCACGAAGTGACAATGTATTATCCAATGAGAGCCATTAGAACCAAGAGATACAAGTTGATCCACAACTTGAATTATAAAATGCCTTTCCCCATTGATCAAGACTTTTACATTTCTCCAACATTCCAGGTTAATTATTCAACCATGTAAACCTAACGTGTAAGAATTTCAATGAAACATTAATTTTCACACTAAACACAATTTTTTACAGGATTTATTGAACAGAACTCGTAATAACAAGCCACTCAATTGGTACAAAACTAATTTAAAAAATTACTACTACAGACCAGAGTGGGAGCTGTATGACTTGAAGTACGATCCTGAAGAGTTGACTAACATTGTAGAAAGAAAAGACTCCAAGGTGAGTCTTAGTTTATTTACCTCCTATTTTGCAATGAATGAATCATCTTAATATACAGAGTTTTATTGAAATTGTTGTTTTATGACAATTACAGCCAGTATTAAAAGAATTGAAAGAAAAACTTAGAGATTGGCAGAAAAGGACTAAAGATCCTTGGTTGTGTTCGCCAAGTGCCGTCTTAGAACCATTCGAAGGAAACAAAAATAATTTACAATGCATGAACCTTGACAACTTTCAATATTAACCAAAGTAGTTGGTTTTTTGTTGTTGTTTTTCCAGAAAACTTTTATATTTTTATACATACGTTTTAGCAGAGTAATATTTCAAGTGTAAGATATTTTTCTTTTCAATAAATATAAGAAATCATGTCATTTTTGTTATTACTTAAATGAAGCTAACCAACCTGCAGGTATTTACGCCTCAATAAGGTACAAATGTTTTCGACTGCAATGAGTTTTTTTCTCTCCTTTCATGCTGCTTCAGCAAAACTTCATTGAACTGATTCAAGAATTCGGTCGATTTGTTGACAGACCTTTCAACCTCGGACATTTGGGTTGCTATCTCGTGTACCTAAAATGTTAAAATCATGTAAAAATTGTTTGCCATTGGCAAGCTGAAATACCAAAGTACTTACGAATTGCTTGTAACCAAGATATCTGTTGTATTTCAATTTGTTGTCATAGAGCTGTTTAATTTGACAGATAAGAATTAAACAGAGAGTAACACCGGTCATTAAACAAAAGGCGTTTAAGCCTTGAAAATTGCGTGAGAGCATAACGGCCTTGGACAACTGCAGTTAACGCTCTCCAGGGTGAAAAAATACATCCATGTTCTTCATCATCTCGTAATCAACAAATGTAAATAAACATAACAAGCCTGAAGGGTTTTAATGTTCATACTACTTTATAAGTACACACGTACATCGTGTTAAAATTTCTGCACATAACAATCACAACTTGATCCACATTATTTTTTTTTTTTTGCCAAGCTTGATAACCTACACATAATCTATAGACAAATACTTTTTCATAATGACGCCTCAAATCGGTTAAGTAATAAAATTTTGACTCTGCTGTTATTAGTCTTTATCACGCTCCTAAAAGCTCACCATTGCCATTCCCCAGTCACCATTCACCAATCACAATCATTATTACCTACTTAATTGTCTATGATCGTGATTGTGCCATTCACCAATAATCCCCATCCCTACATTCCCCACTGGGTCCCCTGCAGTCATCAGTTTGCAATCTGCGCCATCTCGCGTGGCTGATTTTGATTTCAATGATTTCATGATTTGATTGAGTTTATAATTATATATATGCCTAATATGCCCTGCTTTTTACACTCGCTGACCTTCATACGGCCTAACACCATCGCCATTATCGCCAATATATTTCACTATTTCATCGAATCCTACATAATAATTTTCTTGATCCAGTAGTGCGCAATATTAATTACTTGTGATGCAAATAATAAAAATACTACTATCACAATGCATTCTACACAGCGATCAGTTGTGTTTATCCTGCCTATAGCGTTTCGTCTCTTGGCCACCTGCAGCGCTGAGGTTGGTGCGACATATAGCGGATACATGCTATATATATAATATATAACTATGTAACTAAATATAAGTGTGTGAATCTATTTCTCTCTAAGTTCTCTCACCACGCGGTCCCGAAAATGGCGTCTTCCAATCCTAAAGGAAAAAAAAAAAAAAAAAAAAAAAAAACACGCAGTAAAGTTACAATTACAAATATCAATACTAATCAGTACTAAAAACAAGATCGTAAATGTTTTTTTTATTGAATACTGTCATTTCTTTTTATGCTGTTAAAAATTTATTATCTAGAAAAAAATTACAAGTGATGAGTAATTATTGCTGATAGAGAATATTTGAAGTAAAAATGTGTTTATCAATGACTCCATTAATTTTGGAATTATTAGCTTCTTAATTGACTTTCAGATTCCAAGTAGCCGTTTCCTCCATATGTTCTATCAAATACTTGTCCTCTCAATGGTGTATATTCAAGCTGTAATATAATTAAATATTTTTTAATTGAAAATGTCATTTTTTCCATAGCACCTACATTTAAAGTTATGATTGCACAATCGAGCAAGAGGGTTAGATAAAACTTACAAGAAAAGCTCTGCATTAATAATTATTTATTACGAGAAATAATTAAAATAATTTACATTTTCAATACTTGTTGATGATTTTTGTCAAAAATAAATAAACATAATTATGCACACACGATCCACTACAAAAACATATTTTCCATTTATTTACAAATGCACTGGTAAAAAAATATACATTATACATTCATTTAACTGGCAAATGCAAGCAATTTATAAAAATTCTCTCAACACTTAGTTACAATTCTGTAGAAAATTCGGCAATTGCTTTTAGTAAATATTAAGGCAATATTGTCATATAAAATTCTTTTACATTCAAAATTGTACTATATCATTTATGTATGCAATCCAAAAATTCAAATAAATAAAAGAGAACACTTCTCTTATTCTATCAAAAAATAATATTAGTATAGCAGTACTGAACTTTAATTACAGATATTTTTACAAAATAAGTTAAATAAATAAAAATGCGTAAATTTTGTTCTTGGAAGTAAATGTTTTTAACTTTTTTCTACCGTTACTTATTAAGTAAACTTTACAATAAAATACCAATTATTCATTTTGTCTCTTTTGTTAATTTTTAAATTGCGATTTGATTTTAATTATTTTACTATCATTATACTTTGATTGATCACTGTCAGAAAAAAATTATGTGAGATATTGTTGCATTTCTTAAAAGTTAAAAATAATACCTAATCTAGCTTAAAAGCCGTACCTATGGCTCTACATGGTTATTACCGTTTAAACTTATTATACTGTAGAATAAAAGAAAAACACAATACAGGTCACCAATTGTAGACAAGTAGCTAAAGTACTAATAAGCGTACAAAAGAACACGATTCACATTTTATATTAAAGCATATAGCGACATTCAATTTTCAAAACACTTGAAAAGCATACTTATGCACGTGAAAACAATTTCAAAATAATAGTTGATGGAAACGACGGGTAGACCAGGTATAGATAATCGTATTGACGTACGCGCACGTAACACACAAACATGCGTACATGTGATCGCACTAAAATTTATGCTTCCATCTAATGAAGTAAAAAATTAACTTATTTTATCAAAACGTGACTAAGAGTTTCGATCACAATGAAGTATTTTTATACAGAAACAAAATTTTAGAAAATGATATTATATTGAAAATGTAATTTTACGTGTATGTACTGCAGGTATCTACAAGTAGAACAAAATTAATTAATACCAGCACGTCAACACACTACGAATAGAATGTCATAAAAATGAGGCCGATAGTTGCCCACATACGATAGCAGAAGCGGCAACCGGATGCTTCGCTTCGGGCAATTTTTCAATAAGTAATCATCCTCATCAAGCTCAACTCTTTCACACACTTTTTTCATTGTCTAAACCACGTAAGCATGCGTGTATGCATGTACACGCATGAGGGTTCGTTAATCATAAAAATATTGAAGAGGAAGTAACGACCTAGCAAAAAGGGAAGATGTTTTGCGCTACTCCCCTTTACATTAAATACTCATTTGGTTGCTTTGCCTTACAAAAACTTTTTCTGAAAATACTTTTGTTATGATTGAGGCTATAAAAACGCTACCCTATCATTTAACAATATTTTTTTTTATTACTTGAGAAATATATAATTTACAACCATTATTATTAGCATTGATCATAATTGCAGAGAATAAATTAAAAGTTAGAATACAAAATTTTCCGATCATTTAAAAAATAAAGTATTATTTTACAAAAAAACACGCTTTTTACAAATTATCAAATTATAACTCGTATGTTTTACAAGTCAGAAAAATTGAAATTCATTTTAATAAGATCATCGACTTTCTGCAAAGTGTGTCTTGTTCGAAAATTATTTATTTTTAATTAGTACTTTAAATGGAGCTGAGATTCCATGTACGATTTTCCAGTTAATGTGCTTGTCTTAGACAATGTCTTAATAAATTTGAAAAACAAAAAATCACAACTGTGAATAAAAATTCGTTGCATATTTTATTTTAATACGCGGATCATAGATTACAAGCTATTCAAGTATTTTTCACTATTCCAATAAGTATTGTCTGTGTGTTCATACAAAACGGTTGTACAAAAATTTCATAAGCTGTGCATAACACGATGTACTGGACCTCTCAAGTTTGTGATGTAAACGATCAAGTTTATTTAAGGGTATTTGTATTGATAATTTCAAATTCCATTGTGGCAACGACATTGTACTTGCAAGACTAAGAATAAAACAAATGTAAAAAGTTTTCATGAATTAGAAAAAAAAAAAAAAAACTTAGCCTGGTCTATTGATTTTATAATACACAATGATGTATGCAGATGAGCAATTACTGAGCTGCTCATCGACAACCCCACGCGTCCGGATGCTCATACTATAGGAATTAGTACAATGAACCCGTCGCCGGAATCGTTGTATTGCGCCGATGTTGCTCGTTCTCGGCGCTATACTTATGTAACAATAAAACTATAGAAAGAAAAATAATCTCATGCGTGAAGACGAGCACGGGACACGGGACAGGTAACACACACATATGCACAGATGAATGGGAACAATATATAACGCACCAGCGCCCACGCGTGCGCATGAATACCTATATATACTTCCATGTGCGTATGAGGAGTATATGGAAATTCGCACAAAACAGTAAATATTTATGAATACAAACATATGAAATGTTTAAGAGTTCTCGGCCTACTATGCGCAGCAGAGAATGAAAGACAGAAGCAGCAAACGCACTAGGTCAACAGACGGAGTTGCTCGTGCAGCCATTATTCACCTGCGTGGATTCCGGCAGGGGTGAGATCTCGTAATCGGTTACGCGTGCTTTAGGCTTCAAGTGCTGTTTATGTTCGCTCAAAAACTTGGCCTCTCTTTTTTCCTTGAAGAGATCAGCTACTCCAAAAACCTGAAACAACCGAAGGAATTTCCTTGATTCATAATGGGTATGATACATTAATCATAGACAAGTACGACGATGCAATCGATGCGTCAACAGCGTATTATAAGTATACAAGTATATACACAACGTATAAGAACTGAGATGGTTGTACCATTATAAGAGCTATGGCGATGCCAATGGAAGAGCCACCGAGAACGTCGCTCCAGTGGTGCTTGTAGTCAGAAATTCGCGTCATCGCCGTGAACCATGCCATCATCAAGCACATCAGTTGGAGAAAATGTCGAAGCAATTTACTACCTCTCCACGTGAAGCGCAGCTGCAAATAAAGCTGCAACAACAAATATAGGTGATGGTATATTTCATACCTATCAGTTTTTCCACGAAGTTTCTCCTTTTTTTCGTTTATCGTTACATTTGTTAAGATTTGAGCGAAAAATACTTACAGCCAAGAATATCATGGTGTAGGCCGAAAAAGACGAGTGACCAGATGGAAAAGACAATCTGAAAAAAGGAGAAAAAAAAATTACGTTTAAGAGAAATTCAACTAACCAAGGGTATGCGTATTTTTTTTTTTTTTTTTTTTTTTCATACAAGCGATTTACTCCTGGAAAAAGCCAAGGTTCATGTTTTTTTCTGCTATGGCGCTGTTAAAACTTTCGCTCTCTGCTTTGTCACCTTAAACAGCACAAGTATAAGGTGAGTACATTTGGCATGTGAAACATTACGCATATACACACGCAACCTTGGTATGCTCGACTAAACGTATACATATACTTTGAGCCTATACTGACGTAAAAAAAAGAACGTGCTTCTCGCAATGGTTGAAGTAGTGCCATTTTTTTCTCTTGGGCGAGTAAAAATAAATTTAAAAAAAACGAACCACCTGCAAACTGTTACGCGTATAGAATATATGCATTGATAAACAAAAAAGTATCAATGTTCTTGGCTACTTTTTTTTCAAACGATTTCAAACTCGAAGCACAGAGAGAGGAAAAATTTATTTCTTAGTGCTGAAATTTGATTTACAAAAAAAAAAAAAAAAAAAAAACAACCTGTATTAGAATATACTGGTATAATAACACTCTGCGCTGACTTTATTGAAATCGTTATTTATGAGCGTCGCATGATATACATGTTGCGGTAAAAGGGAAAAAAAAAAAATTACTGTAGAGGAAAAGAACCAAAATGACCGCTTTACACGTAGAGTAAAAAACATGTGCGGACCAAAAGAAATAATGGTTGGCACGCTCGTGGCTGCTGATAATTGCGCATATATTATATACACGTGATACTTGAAAATCAAAATTGGCGACCACGCCATGTATATTTATACATATCGACGTACTTAATACACGGTGAGTCACAATTGTATAAGGGCGTATCGGAATTTCAAGAGGCGAACTCTTGGTGTACTCTCGGCAAAAGTGCTCGCGTTGCGTCCAATGAAACACTTAAGATCACGCGGCGCTGATGAAATACTTCATCAAAGCGAGAATTTCCAACAATTGACTTTGAATAATATTTGGTTGCATTGAAAAACCCCTTTCCTTGATTTGAGCCAACGATTCTTCTGATGAAACGTGTAATCAGCGGGTAAGCATCAGGTGATAAAACGCCCTTCATTTCATATTTTTCTCAGTATATACTTATTCTTACAATCAAGCGAAATCAAAGACACGCTCGCATCTAATCCAGGAAGAACCGTGCGAGTATATATATATATCGGCGCAGACCCAGTGCGTACACATGTATGGGGTATATATAAAAAGAGCTTGTCCTTAGAGCTTGCCGATGCAACGACGGCGGCGTCATTGAAGCACAACATATACACACAAGTACCTCACAGTGTAGTCGTCTCTAGGTATCTGTTTCTCGAGAGCAGGAAGCTGTAGCTCTCCAAACGGCGAGACTCTGGCGCTACATCGCAAGTGTAGGCGATGCGGGTACACGAGCAATTCCACAAACACAGTTGCGTCTTCGACGATGGGAATAAAAAACCTTTTTTTTTTTTTTTTTTTTAAAGGCCCTTCTTTCTTTACGTCGCCTTTCACGATCCACACCGTTGCGGCCACAGTAACCCAGAGTACGGGAGCTTTTGCGAAAAATTTGGCAATGGCCAGCCAGGCATGGGGAAAATTCCCGATTGGTCTCCCATTTATTACCAGTGGGAGCAGGTGAAGCTGCCCTACCACGTCCAGGACACCGAGGCAGCGAGAAGAGACATTGCCGCCCAGTACACGACANTGACTCTTTTTTTTTTTTTTTTTTTTTTTTTTTTTAATTTATTTACTCATTTTTTTGTGTGGAACTGCTCATACTCGTGTGCACGAGCCCCCGTTCACATTCACGCACGGGTGCACGCTCGACCGGCCCCGTCTATAAAGCTATACATCACGAAGGGAACGTGCTCGTATATAATATATTTCATGCGTATGAATGAACCCACTGTCCCCCATATAGTATCCTCGTCTAAATGCCGCCTGTATGTGTACAGAATTGTCCTAATAAAAGCGAGCGCGCAGGAAGCCGAAAGGGAGAGAAGACGAGGATGATACCGAGAATCTATATATGTATACCTACTCACTTGAGGCTCGCAAAGGGGAAAAAGAAGATTAAGAAGCTGAAAGTGATACACATATGGAACGTCGTATTGTGTGTAATATATTGCACCCTGAAATCACCGTCTCGCAGCTGGTATACACTATTTTGGCTGCATTATAATGTTACAGTGGGTGATCGGCTGCCGTATATGGTAGGTACTTATTTGTAACATTATGATGATTAATTTTTTCCGCGCAAACATCTTAGCCGGTGGCCCTTGCTTCTTGGTACAAGCTACATATACCGTAAAACATCCCCCGAGGGTAATTACCTGAGTTCCTTAAGGAGCCGATCTGGTAGTGCTGTGCAAACGAAATTCTGGATGTAGCGATGCTGGTTTTCAGGAGCGGTGCAATCGATGTTAGGCTTGCACAGGGTCATAAAGTGCGGCCGTAGTCGGCCCACGGTGTATTTGGCTACGTCCGTCGTGAAGACGGTGGTTGCAGCTCCGAAACCGAATATCCCAATCTGCAAGCATCGGTATAGGTATGTGATCGCTTATACAACATCGAATATTTACAGGTGACAGCGCATACACCGACTATTTGGGACTTTAAATTCGTCAAGTGCGAAAGTTTCAATGCTCGTAATTATTAACCGTGGATTTACTACATAAGTGTGATGCAAATCAACACCGAAGCAAAGTGATGGGAAAAAAAACAACTTTTTTTGTTTAGAGCTTAAGAGCCATCAGGGAAAGAGGTGTCCCGTATAGGATTTACTACATTTTTTTACCCATTTTATCTTGCTAAGTGTCATGTCAAATAAAACCTTGTATGCGCAAAACTACTTTTACGTGTAAAAAAAAAAAAACTACCTTTTTTTTAAGTGTTTTGTTTTTTCAACAGCTGCATAAACATCCTCGTAAAAGATAATTATATGTCATTAGATATACAGATAAGCTATTTTCCCTCATTTGATTATTTATTACTCATCAATCTCATGATTAAGTATACACAAAAAAAAAAAAAAAAATACATGTTATGACTACAGGAATATTCCAAAGTTACTTATATTCTGCTTTCTACGCGTGTTGATATTTATCTACTGTACAATAGACAACATATTTCATTAAAAACGTGTCATTTGGTGTCCAAGCGGTGTTCACCTTATCATAAAAAATATGTATTTTACATGTATGAACTTTACCTTCTCATATGCCATGCGTACCCAAAGGGGTATACTGTGGCTGAACAGGACAAGTGGCGTCGAATCAGAAATATCCCGTGAATGAAGATACTCACATAAAAGGATCTGGAAAAATAATCAAGGACATGTTTATTATTTACGGATGGAAGAGATAAAAGATAACAATGGATGAATACTTTTGCTATTGTGTTTTGTTTCAGTCCTCGTTGAAAATTAAAATTAAAATTAAAAAAAAAACAATTTTAAAGAAAATATACTGATCTAGAATCGGCTAATTGTATTATATAGTTAAAAAATCATGGGTAAAAATTTGAGTTGAGTTCAAAAGTTGAGTTTGGTTCAATGACTTTTGGCCGATCTAACGGACAAAAAAAATTCAATGTAAATTTATGCATATAGGTAGTATACGTGCGCACATTATGGAGCTACTTTCGAATCAAATAATCAGTGTGGAAATTTAAACAGGAGAACAGTATATGTTGAACTCGTTGCATTTTAGAAAGTCCGTTTTTTAATTAAAAATTTAAATCGAACTACCCATTAGTGTTAAAGTATTAAGCAAGTGCGTGAGTATATAATGAGAATATTTTATAAAAGAGTAGTTCGAAACAATATATTTGCCAACAATAAGTTTTCCATGACTGCAAAGTTTGAAAAGTAAAGTGTTAAACCGCTGTTGTGACACACATAAAGTTTCAAGTTATTGCGGGCAGCACAACACTGCAAGAAATGTTTACGATTTGAACTGTTATTATTATGTGAAACAAAAACAAATCTACGTTGTTTTGTTGTACGTCATTGAAAAACGATGAAACGTTCGTGTATGGATGTAACGAGCCACGTCCGATTGGATACTGATTATGTAAATACGACAAATAATGACAGTGAATTCTTTCCCTTACAAGATAGGATGAAATGAGTAATAACAACATATCAAGTTGGCGTATTTTATAATTTTGCAATGTAAATGCAATACATCATATTGTACGACTTACCACTAAGGTGGGAAGCAATAATCCAACGATGTACAACATAAAATTGGTCACCGTAGAATCAAGGTATGGATGCTGTAGCGATTCATCGTTGCAAAAGAAGCCGCGCTTGTACGGCCTTCCAAACAGGTAGAATCCGAGGACCGCCATGCCCACTGCAATCAAACGATACGTACAATCATTATGATACACCTATGTGCAATACATCCATCATTTATTTATTTTTATCATCATTTGTAGCCGCAAATTGCAACGATGTGATGCCCTAAATAGGTGTATTTCTATAAATGAGCTATTTCACACAAAAAAAAATAGCAATGATAATCATAATAAAACAAGTTAGAGATCCCACGATGTTGTAACGTAAAGTGTTTTGAGGCACACCTTTGATTTTTATCTTCCTTTTACCATCAGGAATATAAGTAAACCAATCAACACACGTTAACAAAGACCTGACTCATTTTCGTAATATTTTTTACTCCGAGTAAAAAAGTAAACTCAACAACTATTGCTCGCTATGAAATTCTCTTGCATGTACTCCGGTAAATTACAAAAATGTAAGATTCATTACTCGAAAAATGTGTGTTTAAAAAAAAAAAAATAAATAAATAAATAAAAAATTGTATTCTAATCTTGGAGAAATTTATTTTTTGGGAATTGCTCGTACCAAAAGTACCTTACGTGACATACAAGCACGCATACGGTGTAAAGTGCAGTTGTAAATTTTCAACATGAATAAGCAGTGCCTAAGTAGTATAAAGTTCATATTCTCAATGGTACATAATACGAACAGTGCACTCTCGAGGGGATCCCAGGGACACTTTGCCGTTTACGCACTCTCTTTGCGTGCACGTATGACTTTTACAATGGTGATCTCATCGATTCGTTTTGTCATGCGTTGCAGGTATATAAATACACCTATTATTATATAATGGTGTCCATCAGCGTCACAATAGGATTCCTCGCCTTAACTTACTGGGAACTAAATATCAATACGTATATTGTAACACACACTAAACCCGTACTTTTACATTTGCGCCCGTGAGTCATCTTTACATTGGTAAAAATCGTTTTTCCCCTGACTATCACCTGACTCTTTTTTTTTTTTTTTTTTTTTTTAATCTTCGAACTTTTAACTAACAAGCGTTATCGTAACTTACGATTGGTCGTGTTATGTTAATGACATCGTGGATGCGACATTTTTTCCCCTCGAGTTAAACAAACGAGAGAAAATTCGTTGTTCGACACCGAGTCGTCGATTATTTCTTAAATAATCAAAAGGTCTGGGGGGGGGGGGAAAGAGCCAATTAACGATAAGATAAAGCAAAGAGAAAGAAACAAGTGTAAAGGGGGACAAAAAAAAAAGAAAGAAAAATATTTCAAAAGGAGAGAATAGGGAGGAAATAATAAGAAAAAACCGCAGTCGCGAGTCATTGGGTTGGGTTGGCGTTGTTATGGTATCACAAACGATGACGTGTATATTATACAGTATGCGTTCGTCACAGCTGACTAAGATAGTCGTACGAGCGATAAGTACTGATGTAAGATATATATAAGCGTGGGTGCAACTGCACTGTTATTACATATGTATAATCGTACAAAAATATAGAGGAGCTCAACAGAAGGCGTGCATAATGAGTCTTGTTTACAAAGGGTGTGTGTATATAAGTGAATTGTTATCCCATGTACTTAATACACAAGCGTGTACAATTAAAAAAAAAAAAGGGGGGGGTAATGCGCAATGCGACAGGTGTAAGTATATTATACTCCCCATACATTGTAACGCTGGCAAATAAAATTCGAGTACGGTAGGATAAGTAAGGAAATAAACCGGCCTGCAGGTGCGGCTCAAGGCCGCAGTGTGCGCTGCACCTCGAATTTTGCCCGAAAAAGATAGGACGACTTTCTCGCTTTCGCTCTTCGGGCCGAAAATTTTTCTGGCAAAAGGGGCACACATTGCTTGTATATGTACCTATGCAAAAGCAAAAGAACAGCGCGAGCCGCATCAGTAAAGTTTTTGAGTGTACTGTACTTACACTTGAACGTTGATTTTCTTTTTTACACGCCGCACTATTGTACACACATTTGTATATTACCGTCAGTTTCGATTATACTTAATTACATGTAGATATATATGTTTCGAGCATTCAGATTTGGACTTTTGATAAGATACACCGGTGTTTACATTTGACGTATCATCGCGTTTTTGTGTGCTTCATAGGTGTGTCAATGAGCAATTCTTTTCGGAGCCATAATTATGTACCTATATTTTTTTTTTCTCTGCGGCGGGCACTTGCTCACCATTGGTTCGACGACGGTGATTATCATCGAAGTATCCTCAATAACCCAAAAGTCGTATCTTTCGATGGATGATAAAATATTGTTCTACGTCTCGTGTATTACAAGTACTAATCGGTCGAACGTTGGCGCGAGTTATATTATTACGTAATTAATATACGGAAAGGTGTTAATGATAATGATCGGTATCGGTAAATACCAGGTCCGACAGACGACTTTTGAAAATATGATTCATCGATATGGATTTTTAAATACGTACATTTATTTTCTGCACCACTGCATACCTATATAACAAGTAAACAACATTATTTAAGAAGCGAAGCTCCAAATGTTAATACACTTCAACACAAGTATAGGCTTGACGCGCTAAGGCGATGTAATGATAATACGTCTGGGCCGGAAAAGTGAATTTAAGGAAAACACAGATTGTTTGAGGGAAAACGTTTCGTTTGCCAGACTGCTGGAGTGAAACATTTGTTTTGCATCGAATTGTTAATATATATAAAATTGTACCCAATTGATTTTGGTCCTAATCGAAGGGTATAGGTGCTTAGCATGTACCCATAAGATACGTGTGTGTGTGTGTGTGTGTGTAGAGAGGGAGGAGGGTTTATATTGGAAGAGGAGAAATCCAGTTTGGAATTGAAAATTGATCCTGTTTGAATGGAATGCAGGCGAGGAACGCGCTGGTACTTATACAACAACGAATAGGCTTTATACGTATACACCTATATCTATATAAGTACAAGGGAAAGCGATCACCTGCGCGCCGTACTTATATATATATATACACTTATACTCAACACAAAACGAAAGTGAGTCTGCGTGGATTCTGGAGTTTCAGGGGGGTAACGAGTAAAATCGCACCAAAAAGTAGACGCGACGAATACCATCCCCAAATTCGAAAATATTGGATCTGTATAGGTAGCACTTCAATACCTATTCGCTCCGAGCCGATACAGAGGTTGCGCCCCCTCTATCCAAAATCAGGCAAAATTTCTTGCATGTAAACAAACGGTTTAGAACATATATATATACGTATAGCTGCTTGTGATTGGCACTTGGCAAAGCTCGCGAGAGAACGACGATCCTCTCCTGATGTCTTATTCAGCCAATCACAAGCAGCTATACGTATATATATATGTTCTAAACCGTTTGTTTACATGCAAGAAATTTTGCCTGATTTTGGATAGAAGGGGCGCAACCTCTACATCGGCTCGGAGCGAATACCTTTAATAATGTATATTATTAATTGCAAATAAGGTAAGAGTCTATATTAGCTGCCTATCAGTGGCAGGTAGGACGCAACAAGGCAAAAGCCAATCAAAGGGCTATTTTTGCGGATAAGTATACGTATATGTATATATTATTTAGGGGCTCCCCGTGCGGTGCGTGCATCGCAACCATTGTGTTGTCCACGCCCCCGCACAAATTTCACGTATTTTATTCGCTAGGTCGTACACCCCTGATTTCCTTGAACCGTAGGTATACTTTTATCCTACACACTAAACTAAATCATACCTAGGTATGCAACAATTGCGGTGCATAGTATACTTAAAAATGTCTCTGTAACGTACCATAAAAATTTACGTGTATGTATAGGGGGATAATATTAATTTATCGATCGGCTCCGCGATATAAGTAAGTATAACAACAATCGAGCATACAGTTAAATTACAATATAAACATACAGTTCAGTAATCAGCTGATGAGAAATCGAGTTGACGCGCACAGAGAAACTTGATGGTCATGTACTTATTGTCTTATCGTGTGCAGTTTGTTAACGGATCGATAAATTAAATTCTATGGTGACGATTTACGATGAAAGCCATGAATACAATGACGAATCATCAGCAACACAAAAATACAGTGCTTAATTTACGACACTTACCGACAAAAAGGCAGACAAAGTCGATTAAAATCTTTCGAAGCACGAACTTGGAGCCCCGGTCCATGATGCTGCATATAGTATCCCGGTCTCACCAGAGCTTGTACAATTTTAAGAGCTTATGTTGTTTTTTAAAACACAATTCAAAGCTGCATCTTTTTAATCTTGGGCTTTATATGTTCAGGCTGACAGGCGGGAGAAACACAATGATACGACACCCGACCTTGTAACTTGGTAAGCATTGATGATACGCAAATAGGATTGTTAACGTCTAACTGGCCATCACTAATGACAAACAACTCACGGCTCTCGCGGCAAACTAACTTGTTTCACACGATTCACGATTCACTTCACGATTCTCACCTTCTCTCTCGTCTCTCCCCCACCTCCAGTATTTATATATATATTGGTTTGATCCCCCCTTCTTTCTCCTATCCCTTCCCGTTCGATTTTTTCTTCGTGTGTTATCTTTAACTTTGTAGAGGTGGGAGGCGCCAGTGCGCGCCACGCGCCGCACGTATACGTCGTCTGCAAATGCAAATCCGCGGTGCCTTGCCATGTTGCCATACATCAAAAAAACACACACCATAGTACATAGCGCGTACATGTGTACATATAGTGAAATCTCTGAAAAACTCGTAAGAGGTAACAAAGTACGGAAGCGCGGTCACGACATCTATACAAATAAGTATGGTACTTGACAAGTACAAATATGTTTTTTTGTGGGAACCTGGGAACTGGTGGAGCGGCTTTCGACGCCACTGACTGATTGTGGCAAGTTTTAAGGGGGCTCCTTCACGAAAGTCCCCAAACAGAGATATATTATTTCTTGTAAATAAAAGTCTACTGAATTTAATGGTGGTCTAAATTATATTTCGAATGGGTCAAAATTTTGAGAAATCCGAGCTCAAAGGTGTAACTATTAGCACGTGTTCCTATGGGGCAGCGTGAAAAACAATTTGTTTTCGTTTATAATAAACCTAAATTAAATGTCCCAGCAGACTGAATATATACGTTTTGTAGATGAAGTCTTCCTCTGTAATATGCTGTATTAAAAATTGTGGATAAAGGACCATTTTAGTGAGATATTTGTGATGGAAATAAATAAATAAATAGTGTCCGGAAGGTCAGGAGGTCACGTGGGTAGCAGACGTACTTGTTCACGACATATGTATCCCACATACCTATATACCTATATATTACATCGCTATACTACACCAACACAGGTGGTCTGGTCTGTTGGTGTACCCTCGTATGCATTAGACTGGCCAAAACAATAATTAATTTTTCGTACAAAGTTAAACTACACATATAAATATCATTTTTCCCACTTCATACGTTATTAAAAATATCATAATGATTTTCAGACACATTTGCTTATTGAAAAACAAAACTTTATTTTTTGTTTGTCTTTGACCTCAGCAGTAGTCGTAGGAGCCCCCTTAAAATAGGTAGTGAAGAAGTGAAGATAATAGACTTTCTACCATCAGCGCCACCCGTTTCTTTCCCGCGCAACTTTTGACATTTGATTTTGATCAGCTTGAACAAAGGAATGAAAACTGGATTAAAACCCTTTCGATTGCTTTTCTCAATTTTTCACGTGTCATTTTTGTAAAGGCCAGAGTAAAGAGCGTAATAAATTATCAAGTGTCTCAAAGTTATTTATAAAAGTTCAGATGATGAACTGAATGATCATAAATAGGTCATAATTTAAATTTAATACTTTTATAGTACCGTGGCTCAGACTTCAGGAACCCAATATTTAGCTCAGCCAACCTTGCGATTCAATAACTGTTAATTGGTGGTCCCATCGGTATTGCCATTTTCTCTCTCACATTTATTAAAGCTAAACAAGTAAGCCTTAGAATCTGTTAACATTTGGAGTTTTTTATCTTTATTTTTGTATCAACTGGTTTATAAACAATAATTTTATCTAGTAAAAAGCTTAAATATAAATAAGTAGAAATTAAATGTAACTTACATGAGATTATTTTATATAATATTTACAACTGAATTTAATCAAGAACAACTCACATTTAAACTACTTAAGCAGGTCGTTTTTTAATTATCACTCGTATTTAAGTGGAAAAATGTTTAATCAATGAAAAATTGTTCACTAATTTGTGATTTTTATACATATTCACATAGACGTCAAGGTACATGACAATGAATCAACGTTATTTTTTCTTCATATTTTACATTATTTACATAACAGTAGATTGCAGTACTTTATAAACCTCTATCATATCAACATATACAAGATGTAAAACGGTCAATAACCCCTCGATACAAAACAATCAACGTTGCGGAATAAAATGTTGGGCTGATGTATTTAACAATCGCATTATTTCGCATGGAGTAAAATAAACCATACAAAAAAAATTCTAAGTCATCAAGTAAAAAGTTCATTTGCGTCATTGTAAGGCTGATATAAAAAAGTATTGCTCTATTTTTATGGATCCATTAATTTAATATGACGAAAAATACGATTTTAGAGGAGCTCTGTATCCGATGGTCATCTGCGGTGTTCAGAAGCATAAGCTGTAATTGTGCTATCTACACAACCAGTTGCAAGCATAACTCGATAGGGATGAAAATTAAGGCAGCTCACAGGACCAATTCTTGTACTCATAAATCCTTCATGGAATTTTATAGTATTCAAGTGTTGTCCAGAAATATTGTACATACTAATACACTGATTTGTAGAACTGCTGAAAACACGTAACTACATAAAATATCATGCATAAAAAATTTCATTATCGAGTTTTTAAAATTTATTTTAAATTTAGGTATCGTGAGAAAAAAAAAGTTTGAACAACATTAATCACCATGCAAATATGTCAGCTGTTTCGTGTGTCGCAAATGCTGTCATTCCTTGCAGAGTTTGTACCGTATTAATGGAAGAATTTTTTCTAAGATCGAAAAACCTAACTTCACCAGACGAGGAGCTAGTAATTAGTTTGACCGATGAGGTTGTTGATTTTTTAAGACATGCTCCGAGTACCCACGCATTATGCTCTCTAAATGTCATAACTCTAGCTTCACTAACTGGCAGTCTGCGATCAAAAAGACGCACGGACCCGTCTGCACAACCAAGTACCATCATATTGCCTGTAAAAACAATGTATTTTTCACACACAACATAAATACATTAAACTGTGTTTTTTGTTTTTTGTTTTTCCATACATTTTTATTAATAGCTTACCTATGCCATCGGTGTCTAAACAAGTAACAGAACAATCAGCTCCTGTTGGTATGTCTTGTAATTTTAATTCTGTCTCTGCATCCCAAAGTCTAACACTTTTTACATCACCGCTTGCTGCTAATGTTAACGAACGCTGTTCCCAACTTGTGACTAACCCTGCAGTACCTAAATATTCGGTAAAGCATAAAAAAATTTACGATGATTGTAGTTACAATAGTAAATGATAAACAGTAAAAACTAATACAATAAGGCCATGTTGAAGTTGTTTTTGTAATTTAATTTACCTATTGAACCTTTGACAACGGGTGGTAGATCAGTCAGACCATGCCACGCTGTCAGTAGCGTGGGTTCTCGTCCAAGCATGTTGTAATAATTTTTCCAAACTCTAATGGATCCATCATCTGAGCCTACCATTAACAACGCAACATCATGAGAATTTATAAATTCTAAAGTTGTTATACGGGACGGTTTATTTCCTCGACTAGCGTGATAAGTCAATTTAGTTCCACTATGCCAATCCCAGATGCTATAATAAATCATCAATGTAAATTATTATTAGTTATTAAAATCAATGTAAGTAACTCTGCATTTGAATAACTTTAGGGACCATTACATTACATACCCAAAATAATCCTTGCAAGCAACTGCTAAATGAGAATCAAATGGATGGAAAAGCAAAACTTCCGGTTGTTGAGGACAACGAGCGTGAAATACTTGAAATTCTATACGCCCATTGACAACTTTAAGCTGCTCTTCTATTACCTCCTTTTTCTGTCGTTTGTTCCTTAAGTAGCTGTTTAGATAATTAATAGTGAAAAACTTATTTCAAATCAATAACCACAGTAATATTCTTGATACAAACCGCCATTCACGTTCATAATGCGCACGACTTTCAAAGTCATGCGCGGATTCAGCTTCTGCATCGTGATGCACAGGCTGAGCAAACTGGGCACAACTCCATTCAACAAATTCGGATGTCACTAATGGTTTTCTAAATCCTGGCGTTTCATCTGATTCTTCCGATATCTTAACAAATTAAGTAGTATAAACAAGTGATATCGTTGATTTAGAAATTCATGAATGATTAAAGATGATTTTTTAATTACCGTGTTAGGTATAGGTTTCCTCGCCCGGTTTGTGTGGCCCGCTAATCTTGTGGACCTCAGGAGATCATTTGCCGGGTTGACAATTGGTGGTGACTCTCCTTTACTACTATTAAAATAAAATTGATCAATGAGATCCAATTTTGACGAAAAAAAAAAAAAAATGTAGTTTTATTTGATACAAATGTATGTTTTTGTTACCTTAAATAATTCGTTCTATTTGATGGAGATGGTGGTAAAGACAAAGACGATGACACCTTAGCATTACTAACTTCCTTAGGCGTAGAAGACTCTTTGAGCTATGTTAAAAATTGAATCATCAACCCAATGATAAAAATCGAACGTAATGACAAAATAACCTTTACCTGACTTCGAATGTAATTAGTGACTTTTTGAGACAAAATAGCAACTCCTGGATGCGGGTCATTATCGAGAGCACACAGTCCATGCCATAGTTTCATATAGACGCTTCCATACGAAAGACTAGGTAAACTTCCAAGAGAACTATGACCTGTAAAAACAGTAAATTTTTTTTTTTTTTTTTTTTTAACCTAACGAACAACAAGAACGCTCTAAGGTACAATAAACATTCATATAAATACTCAAAGTACTAAAAATTTATATAAAATGTGCTATATTTATGAACTAGACAAATTCATGCTTGCCACGGATTATTTAATAAAAGTTACCCATTGATTCACAGGGTTTCCTCACAAATTCCCAATTATTTCCTGGCACACAAAATATAATAATGGATATATATGTTATTCATCAAAAATTTTTACATGCTCAAGGATTAATAAAAGTGTCAGAATTTATAAGTTTATTTACCTAAACTACTGATCGACGAGACGGAATTTACCCTTTTCATCTTATCGGAACCACATCCGTCTGTTATGTCTGAAGAAAAAGTACTACTTGGTGATAAAACTTTTAATCTGTCTTTAGAGCTTACTTTTCGCATTCCACTAAAAGGATAAAAAGTATCAACTCCTAAATCTTTTCGGCTGTTTTCTTCTGCAATTGCAAGGGTAACAAAAGAGTTTTCCGAATGAAGTACCATCCATTGAAGAGCCACTACCATTTCCTATAATAAAAATTTGTATTATGCATTATAAATGTATTAAATATTCATTTTTATTTAAATAAATGATTATCTTACTTTTCTAACTAAAGGGCACATATCAGAAGTTACAGTGGTCATTAATGTCATAGCGATAGCTTGATCTATATTATTTGCGTGTTCGCTTCGTTTAGTGGCACTACTTATAAAAGTCCCTAATGCATATACACTTGCGGCCCGGACCTAAATTTCATTCGACAAAAATTAAATTTAAATTTGATTATATATTGGTAGAGTATTAAAGCATACTTCTGGTACGGGATCTTGCAAAAGGGTATACAATTTTTCATGGGCGATGTCTCTCACTCCACACCATCTAGCTTTGTCATTATTATGCCATAGTCTTGCAAGGCAAAGGCATAACCATTGTCTAAATAATGGATTAGGATCACCTAAATATTCCAGGCAGATTGTGAGCAAACATGACTTCATGGCAGCTTTCTGACCTTCTGCGTAATTTTTCACTATACAAGCCAGAATGAAGACCGCCAGCGTTCTATATTCACTCTAAAAAAAATTATGATTATCATAAAATCTTTCGGCCTTTTTTTTTCAACCATCAACAAAAGTTTTTAAACTTGCTTACTAGAATAGACGGGTCTTGTAAAATAGATAGGAAGTACAAATGGCAATTAGTTTGAACTAAATCAGTCTGACAGGTCTGAAAAACAAACTTTGAAATAAATACTTAAATAATTTAATTATTAAACAAAACAATAAGACTTACGTTATCAACAGCAAGAATTTTAGCCCAAATAAAAACGAGAAGAGGTCTAAGTTCCCTAGCGCTGCTTTGTAACAATTTTAACATATAAGGAAAGATTCCGACACTTAAGGCTAAATTAACTGCCCATGGTCCAAGATCAAGAAATTGCCCAAGTAACTCCAATGCTCTGAGCCTGTGGACTTGACTAAGCAGCACTTGAAGTACTATTGGTAATTGTTCAGGAGGATTACGATTTTTGGAGCCAAAAGTCAGCCATACTTCAAAAGCTGTTAATTGTTGTTCAAAAAAAGGTAAATGAATAAACTGGTTATCTGACTCCAAGGTAGCCGGTAATTGTGTTAAACATAAATCTAAAGTCAAGTCCCAAGCTTGCCACATTGGGTGCTGCAAGACATTTGAATGCAAATTAACGTGTATTACAAGTTATTGACATTAATTGTAATCGTCAAGTATGCGTAACTTGTTTGAAAAAAATCTTACTTGATAAGTAGATGGAAGCTTTGGATATGATATAGGAGTACAGTCATACGAATGCAATATTCGTTCAGCTAATAAAAAATTTCTAAATAAACTAGCAACCAATAAATCTTGTCTAAATAATTTTTGAAACAAATCTGGTAAGAAAAAAATTGCAACATAATTAAAATGTTATAATTGATAACATGTAACGTGTTATATTGTATTATAAATTAAAACCTCTTGGTAGGGTGTTCCAAGCTATTGTATCTGTAATAGCGGTAAATATCCAATTAAGTTCACCCAACATCGTTTTTCTATCTGCTAATTGGCCAGGAATTCTAAAAAAATAAAAATTTATATCCAGATTGTGTTCAGTATTGGACTATTAAAATTATTCAGAAGCACTTTCCTAAATGTACTTACTTGTCTACTAGATCCAAAGATATCTTTGGTATTAACTTTGATGAATTTTGCATAACAAACCTGTTAACACAGTGAATAATTAATTTTATCACCGAGATTCAATAACACGAATGAAAAGGTACAATACTTACCAACGCACTGCAATCTTGATGGGTGTTGTAAGGCAAGAGGTAAATAAGTCAGCAGGAAGATCGGGGTTCATTGGTAAAATCTGATCAGCAGCACAAGCAGCTAATTGAATACAATTTTTAAAAGACGGTGTCACAGGAATAACACCTGCCGATCGGTTTTGCTGAATTGCCTGTTTTTCCATCTGATGCAAATTTTCAAATAAATTTTAGCAGCCAGCAATAAAGTTTTGCTGATGTGTAAAGAAAAAAGTTTACCTCATGTTCTTTTTCATGTTGATCAGCAAATTGTTGAAAAGAATCTACAATGATACCTGCATTGGAACAATCATACACATAAATACTTGGAGCCCCCATCCAGGTTTGCAAATCATAAACTGACAGAGGAATATACTGAGTGTATGTCTGCATGAAATAAAAAAATTGAGTAAGGTGAAAATTCATAGAAAGGGAAGAAACAATGTTACATGAATGTACAAACCCTGTTAAACACCCATATTTCTCCATTACTAGTGGGTTTGGGAACACCGTGGCCATTGTAATGAAAAAGAACGCGCTCCTCTTTTGCATTTCTCCTGAGGGATATGCAGAGTTTTTTCACCTCCTCAACGGTAGGGTCAAGGCTCTGCTTGTACCTGGCACGAGGCTGCCAGCGCTCGTATTGCTTTTGCAGATTGGAGCCTATTGTCTCCAGAGCCTTCTGTGGGCTCATGGACAAAGGATCTGAAAAACAAGAGCAGTTTAATGATTGTAAACAATACCAAGAGGTTTGGATGGCAGAGGGTCGGTATACTTACCGATCCAACACTCGAGCCGGGCACAGGGCTGCGTTTTGACGATATCTGGAGGATCGACCCCAACATTCAGGCATAGCACTAGCGCAACGCTGACCGTTTTCATCTGAGGAAGAGAGTATACAGAAGTATAGAGAGTATAAGAAACAAGAGAACATCTCATGTTGTAATAATTTTTACAACAGTAAAGGGAAGGTCGGATGGTTGATTTAAATGACTACTGAACAAGGTAAGTGTATAAACTGAGGCTTACCCGATCCTTCATTCGCCAGCTTTGACTGATGTAATTGACAGCCTCTATGGTCAGTGAGTGCTTAGATTTGCTAAAAGCTATTGGCATGATCCAGTCTTCATCGTAGGTGATTTGCCTGAGAGAAAGTTTGCTGTTGGTGCCGTGCTCTCCGTTTTCTGATCGCTCATTGCGCCGTTGGCCGTGATCCCCCGATGACGAGGATCTGAGCGACGACATGGTAGCCAGGGCTCCGAATTTGTAGTAGCTATTTGATTTGTAGGTACCTCGTGCTTCAGAATAACATGCCAATATTTTTATAGATAAAACCAAATACCTAGGTTGATCTTAGGCACTTTTAACTTTAATACACATGAGTAGTCCTGACAATTCTCTGATTGTAGTAGACCAGTGATAGAAGTTAGCAATCATCTAGAATACACGTAATACCTCGATAAAAATGATGCACAGGCTGTACACTAATCTCATACTGCGCATTAGATGACTGAATAGTAGAAGGTAAAAGTAAAATTGCACTATTTGCACTCAACACTGAGTCAGAGATACTAAGTATAGGTAAATAAGTGTGACAGTTAACAACCAATTGTTCGCACTTGTACTGATACTGATGACTGCAATAACCACCTTAAGATACCTAGTAAAATAAACAATCAAATCTCTCTCGCACAAGACGCACATGCACGTGCGTCGCGCAGTACTTATATGTATCTATACAAACAAATCGGTACCTACCTAATATATATCTGAGATGTTATGATTGAATTGAACGATTGAAGATACCCACCTCTCTATACACACTAGGTATAGTTATATAGTACACTATATGGTGAATATGGACTGTTCAATGGGCTAACTAACTAGGTATACTTTTGTTACACTAATAGTTTTTGTCTGCTTTGTTTTTGTATAAAATTAGTACCTATATAGTGTACCTACCAAGAAAAGACAATACATCGTGCAATAATCAGATTACATATACTTTTGTCTTTTTTTCAGTTTTCCAAAAAGTGAAAAAGTTTTTCTAATTAATTATTTTAAGTATAGAAGTAGAAGTAAGTCATTCGGTCACTATACTGTCACGTTCAGACACCTCACCTCACACCCAATCTCTGCTTACAGTGACTCGCATAGTCACGTTATAGTCACTTGGACTGCATATTTGGGTGTATTCCGCACCCACTGACAGTCAGAGTCAGGCGGCACTACTGCTGGTATCGATTCCACCGATTAAAACCATTACGAATTGTCAAATTTTATAACATTTTCGGAGTTTGTTTACAAATAAAAAAATTAAAAAATGTATGTTATGTAGTTTCTGGTTGTCAGCGCCATCTAGCGTTGTGATTTTTGGAATATGGAATCTATCTATCTAGGGGAAATCGCATTGAAAAAAAACCCTAGATTTTAGTGCTATATATATATATACGGCCTAAGGTCTTACACCAGAAAGAAATCACTATGTACAGGGAGATCGTGCTGTCGGTACTGATGCAGTAACATGGACCCTGCCGTACCGACGGTTGCTGTTCGCTGCAGCGAGTTAATGAGTTAACCGTCAGTACAGTCACAGGCGATGAAATCTTCAATTTTTTCTTGACTTTCACGTCATCTGCTGTTTTAACTGGCCAGATTACGGAATATATAGCGCCAGTTTAATTCAAGGTAGTTGACTTACCGACCTGACGGTAACGTAGAGCGCAACCTTAAATTACTTGCTGGTGACGATTGCGGAAAACACCCCTTATGGGTACATCGGTAATCGGTACATATACTATTTATAGTGATTTATCTCTGGCGGAAAACCCTCGGTCGAATATATATATATAGCACTAAAAACTAAAATATAGGATTTTTTTTCAAGATGATTTCCCCTAGATAGATAGATTCTGTCGATTCTGTCTTTCTGTTCTGTCAAATCAAAACGCTAGATGGCGCTGACAACAAAAAACGAGGTTATAAAATGTTATTAAATGACAAGTTCCAGCCCTCCCTTCCAACGACTTACACAAAGCGAATACTAGTGTAGTGTTAGTTCAACATAAAAATGGTGCTTGAAAGTACTATAATATGGTAAGGCTAATGTTTATTGTTTATAGTAACCAATTCTAGACAAATTTACTTTACTTGGTGGATCATTTCTTGACACATTTCTTAGCTTATAGCTATCTTCCAGCTTACAATAATTTTATTAATATTACTATCCAACACTATCTGCACTGAAATTGATTTCACAGTGACTATGCAAAGTTGAATAAAATAATTCTTTTTCAAGTAAATCACAGATCCGTTTAGAGATCCTCAACTTTGTTTTTTTTTTTTTTTTTTGGTCTTGCAATCAATATAAATTGTTGAATTACCTTTACTTTTTATACAAGTCTTTCTTTATCATGTACACAATGACCTTTTTTGAGCATAACCTCAACCTTAACAGTAATGAGAGTTTTGTTTGTCAGAAAATTTAAGCGCAAAACTTACTCTTACTCACTTCATGACTGACGCAGATCATATATACTTTCGTAAAAATTTATCCTATCAAGCAAATGCAACATGAATATAAATTATGATTTTTGTTTGTATGATTAGTGTTGACAACAGTGATTATATGAGAAATGGAGACTTTCTTCCTACAAGACTGCAAGCACAGCAAGATGCTGTCAACTTGGTGTGTCACTCAAAAACACGATCCAATCCAGAGAACAATGTTGGACTTATTACTCTTGCTAAGTGAGAACTTTAAAACATACTTCCTAAGGAAACATCTTCATTATTTCTTTTCATACTGTTTTCTAATCTTTCTTTGTATTTCCATAGTGTGGAAGTGTTGGCTACTCTAACTAGTGATGTTGGGCGAATTTTATCAAAACTCCATCAAGTTCAGCCTAATGGTAATTTATCGCTTATAACGGGAATCAGAATTGCACATGTAAGCTTTGTTTTTTAAACAATCAAATAGAAAAATAGTGTAATTTTGACGTTCGAATAAAAGATGAATGATAAATATTTTTTTTTTTTCAGTTAGCTTTAAAGCACAGACAAGGCAAAAATCATAAAATGAGAATCGTTGCATTTGTGGGCAGTCCAATACAGATTGATGAGAAAGAAGCTGTAAAGTTAGCAAAGCGTTTGAAAAAAGAAAAAGTTAATGTTGACATTATAAGTTTTGGTGAAGAGAGCATTAATAATGAAGTTTTAACTGCATTTATAAATGCTCTCAATGGAAAAGATGGGACTAGCAGTCATCTTGTGACAATTCCTCCAGGCCCTCACCTATCTGATGCTTTAATTTCTTCTCCCATTATCCAAGGTGAAGATGGCATGGGTGGAGCAGGTATGGGTGGTGCTGCATTTGAATTCGGAGTCGATCCAAATGAAGATCCAGAACTTGCTCTGGTACGACATTTTAAATGATTCAATACTTAATTATTTCAATAAAAAATAATGCAATTCTTGTTGTCTAATTATTAAGGCTCTGAGAGTGTCCATGGAAGAACAAAGACAACGTCAAGAGGATGAAGCAAGACGAGCTCAAAGTACTGGTACAGAACCTCCTGTAGTAACTAATGAACCGGAAACTGTGAAAGAAGTACCTAACGAAGAAGCAATGTTAAAACGAGCTCTTGCCATGTCTCTAGAAGGAAGTGAAGAAGTACCAGCTGCTGTCAATCGAACTACAACAGGTCCTGCAAGTGTTCCAGACTTTTCACATATGACGGAAGAAGAGCAAATAGCATTTGCCATGCAGATGTCTATGCAAGACCAACGTATGTTTAACTGTTATTGATGTTCTTTTTATAGATATCATGGTTTTTGAAAATTTTTGAATTTTCGGAAAAATAATATTTATTATCTTGTCAAGTTTCCATAAATCAACTTTCGTGATTAATTCTCACCGCTTGATTTTGGTGTTTAACATTTTTTGATAATCTTTTACTGTGATTCGTAGAAGAACTTGAAACGGCTCCAAAAGAAGAACCAATGGACGTTGAAGAAGATTATGCAGCTGTTATGTCCGATACTGAATTTTTACAATCAATCCTTGAAAATTTACCTGGTGTAGATCCACAGTCAGAAGCAGTTCGACAAGCTGTTGGATCCTTACAGCAAAATAAAGACAAGGAAAAGGAAAAAGAAAAAAGTAAAGATAAGGACAAAGACAAAAATCAAAAGAAGTAGTACTCTTGCATTAAAAATATTTAGTTTTATATCTATATGTATTAAAAAAAAAGTCTATTAAATGATTTGGGTAAATAATTTAACAGTGGTGGTGAGGATTTCTCAAGATGTAACTTCTAAATTTACACGTTTCCTAATTTTACATGACTTTTCTTCAACTTCAGTGATGACAATAATGTTGTGTTGATCAGTTCTCCAAGTGAAAAAATATCCATCCTAAGCATCACGTGTCAACCACCTGTATAATTATTTGTTAAAATTATATCAATAAAGGAAACTACATGTCCTTTCAAAAGGTGGTTTCATTTTTTTATAAGGAATCCTTTCAGTCTCACAAGTTTTTGAACTAACTTTTTTACACTCTCCGTACATCATTATTTTGATCTCTGAAGATATAAAGTATTAATTTTATTAACTAACTAGAGTTTTAGTTGTTGCTTAATGGAAATATTTAAGCGATACCTCTTCCATTTTTCTGAGCATCTTTTAAGGCACACTCAAACAAACAAATGTTACCATGTTGATTGTTTTCATTATCACACACTGGATTATAGTTTCTTGGACATAAACATCCAGAAGACACAGCTATTATAGTGATGAGCATGTAAATTATTATCTGCTTTTGCATTGTTCCTGAAATAAAACAGTGCATTGTAAAATGTTTCATATACCTACAGAAATAAGTGGCATCTGATAGCATAATGTGATACATATGAAGAATAACATGTGTGCATTGAATATACAATAATGAAAATGGATAAATAAACGGTGGATCAATTACAATTAAATACCTTATTTCATGCAAGTACAGATTGTTAAAGTAACTTTGTTAAAATACTCAATATTAAAAGGTCTGCAAGCTGGTCAATCTAAAATATACTGAAAAATAGAAGTACAGAGTTGTGGTAAAACTTACAGAGTATTTTGAAAATACAAAACTATTGTTTGGTATGGACTAAAATGTATTCTAAATTATACTGAGCGTGCAAAGTCAGTGTGACATTACATTGATGAACTGGTATCGTATTAAAAGGGAATAAAAACGATATAATAATCAAATTGTGATAAGGTTGTCACAGTCAGATCATGATAAGAATACTTTTGAAGATTAAAAACTTAATCATCACGTTTACTTGATAAGGTACTATAAAATAAAAATACACAATTAAACTATGTTTTGAAAATATAGTTTATTTCTTATTTATTATGAACATTACATTTTTTTAGATTATAATTTTGAATCCTTTTAATCAGAATCGTAAAATATAAAGTACGCTACTTAAGAACATAAAAAGCCAGCGGAAAATTTTACATTAGCGAGGGTTTAGAGGTACCTACCTATAATGACAAGTCACAAAGGGTTATTGTTGTGGTACAAATAACTAATAGTCGATAAGATAATCGAGTAGTAACCAATTATGTTTAATAAAACTATCTTTTAATGCTATTTTGAAATGATGGATACATTTATAAAACTGATTTAAATATGTGTAATTTAATTATTGCACACGAATAAACACAACTTTAAGAGTATTTTAAAACAAAATTAACCACCCTTAGATTCATGTAATAAAATCTGATTTAGCAATTATTTTGTCATCTTTGACTCAGGCTCTCCACTTCTTATAAAGTCTTGAAAGTTTCTTTTGTCTTTTGGTAATGATAAAAATATACCTCCAACGGCTACGATAACAGTAAACAATTGAGCAGCAACGCGGAGACGCATCATGCGTTGCTGTGTTTCTTTTGATCCTCGGTACATGCTAAAGATTCCATAAGACAGAGCACCCACTGTCACTGATGCACCTGCGAGAAAGTAAGAAGTAAACTTAATATGACAGATTCGTATGATTAAAGAGAATCATCTTAAAGATTTTAGTACGTTCTATAAATAAATAAATGACTTGAATTCAGCAATTACTGTAAATTCTGTATAATCAATTCAAATTATTTTTACACCCATTACTCCATAGATGGTAAAATACTTTTTTTAATTTACACACACATGCACAGAAAGATATTAATATTGGTTACTACTTAAGTATTGTTATGTTATATTTTATCGTCGTTGCTGATTGATGTGAACTACGAATTAATACTCACCAATTGGCACCAAAGGATTGTTCAAACATTTGCGCTTGATTCTTTCAAAATTTGATTCTGGTGGGTGAAGCATACCCATATCTATATCCAGCTGGATCCAATCGAGCCCCGTGGGTTTTTTAATATCTCCCATAATGTTTCAATACAAAAAAATTTCTCAACGTTATAACACAAATAATTGCGTTTTTTTGGACAAAATTAAGTAGATACAACTGGTCCGCTGATGCTGTTGGAACTAATGCTTTTTTACGGACTCGCGAGGGTGAACTAATAATTAAATTCTTTGCTGTGCTTAAAAATTAACCATCGGTCACTTCGTTATCTTGTCCCTTTTTAGCTTTCGAGATTGAGACATATAAGTTAAACAACGTCTCCCGGCCGCTCGACAGATGACAATGCGCGCATAAATGTATATAAATACACAACTCGACGAATTCGTCGTCTGCAACATGTAAAATCAGTGAAGTAAAAGTATAATATGTGATGCGCGCGCGGTGCGGTGCGTTGTTGCATCAAATCAAGCCATCATGGCCATGCAATGCAAGAGGAAAATAAATGTATTTGGATTGTGGATGTGTAATAAAAGTTCATATTCGAAGTACTTACCTAACTCATTAAGAAAATTTAAATATAAATTTTCAGTATTACACAAAGCAGTATAGATGCAATTTCTACGTTTAACATTCGATCAAACCATAACGAAGCTTTTATAGACACACCAGCACTACAGATTGTCTACCGATTAACTATTGCTAACCGCCATATTGAAAGTACTCTTACGTAATATGCGTACGATAGTACACAAATGATATAAAACTTCATTGGATTAAATAATTTTAGAGTATACTTTACTATAAACGGCATTGAAACTAAATTATAACATTTATTAAAATGATAGGCGACAGGTACGTTACAATAATGATCTGGCAAAAATAAAGTAAGGTAGGTGTAGGATTAGAGTTTTTTTAATGTTCGGAAGTGAGGAATACTAATTCAACAAAGATATGTTAATATCAAGTTTTTTATTATACGACTTTTGATACACCTTGAGAGTAATATCAGTGTGCTTTGTTCACCAAGCATATGTGCATAAGTAAAAACATGGTAATTACTTGTGACAAAGTTTAATTATTTTAATAATTAAGTCATACGTATTGAATAAACTAAGCAAGGAACAAATAAGTATAATGTAAGATATTGGAATGAATACTGCTATGTAATAATGGTCCGTATGCCTCAATTTGCCAATAATAAAACGGTACGTATCAAAAAGTTTGTACTTAATGGTTTTAAGCTTCAACTAAGGGAGTAATAAATTTACATTCCAATACAGTATTACGCAAACTTACATTTCGTCAATTTCTACCGAAATTTGAAAGTTTGCCTTTTATGTACCCTCGCATCAAAGTTATTAAAATTGTCAGAACACCGTTCTACTGTTGCGAACATCGATCATTTTACTAATTCACCGTTACCTCTACTATTACGATATAATTATTTATTTGTTCTCTTTTTAGAATCAGTTGCATTCTAACAAAACAAGATACAAGGGATTAGTAAAGTAATAAATAAGTGAAAATAACTATGATAACGATCAGCAAATTCAAACGCGCAAACCGCTGTAGAGAACAGGTTTAATCTAATCACAGTTAAAGACAAATAATTAAATCTAAGTTCGGGAGCACTTTGCTCTGATTTAATGTCTTATATCTGAATTGAGAAATCAACTGTAATTATTGTATCCACTGTTTCTGTTGTTGTCAAAACGTTTGTGTGTGCCAGAAAAAGTGTTTTCCCGCCCTCGTGCTCCTTGGTATCCCCAACGATCTAGAATACATAAGATTTTATTAATATTCGTTTGTCTTGTCAAAGTGTCTGAAAAAAAGTTAAGAGATTACTCACTTCTTCCTCCAAAACTGTTTCCTCCCTTCATAGCCAAATCAGACAATTTGGGGTTGATTATCTGATTGGCTTCTTTGAGAACGTTTATGAGATCTTTGGCTTGACGGCTATTTTGTGGAGTGAAAAAGGCATAACTAGTACCGGAAGTTTTGCAACGACCAGTCCTGCCTATTCTGTGAATGTAGTCTTCAGATGACGAAGGATAATCATAGTTTATGACGTACTTAACATCATCAACGTCTAAAAAAAGGATTCAGTTATTACGAATTCTTTATTCATAAAATATGAAAAAAAAGCTTCATGTTCATTCTTAGATAATTGGCCACATATTTAAAAAAATGAATGTATTTTAAATGCAGCTTACAACAAATTAAGATCACTATTAATTTGTGTTAAACATTATGTGTTTATACATGTAAGAGTAAGAAATAAAAAAAATAAAAATCAAATAACGATACATACTCAATAGAATTATAACAAAATTTGGCTGCATTAGGAAATCAAAATACAAACCATCAACTTTGGGCAAAGCAATACGTGTCAAAACTCCTGTATGCTAGTTCATATTTGTAAATGATATCCTGTTTTTATTTATTCCCGTTGAGTAGCGATAATAGCTAAATCAAATGATTGTTGTCTCGTTCCCGGAGAGCATTGGCTATGTGGAAGTTTATATACCAGATACGCAAAATCGTAAGCCAACGTTTCAGGTCATTGTGTAACCTGAGCACCACAGCTTACCTTCTTTTTTTTTTTTTTTTTTTTTTTTTTTTTTTTTTTTTTTTTTTTTTTNTTTGTAATAAGTGTCAACTGGAACCAGTGCAGAAAAATATTTAGTACGCTTATTTCCACATTGATACTAGATCGATTTTTATTACATATTTTACGACGAAATGAAATGCATACGAAAATTTACTGTAAAAGTGTGTAAAAGAATCGAAATGCTGTTTGATAAATTACAAATATCGTTGAACTTTCTTTATGGTTATACTAAAAAAATTTCTCATTTCAAAATGATGCGTACTTCTAACAATCGTAAACAAAATACATTTATGTACTGTCTCAAATTTTTATATTCTCTTTAACTATGACAATCAATTTTTATCGGTTATTATTAAAAATAAAGTTCGTATTGTTACTAAAAAATCAGTTGAATTTAAAAGCACATAAACTTGAAAATTAGTGTACAACTCACGTTTATAGACGTAACTTTAAAATTTAACGGAAAATTCAGTCTTCAGTGTTTGAAACATTTGAGGACGGAAAGGCCTGCTTACGGTGTTGGGCGCTTTAACGAGAACCAGAGAGGTTGGATGTGGACGAGGGGAACATTTTGTGCTAAGTTTGAGAAAATTTTGATTAATGCGAGATCGACGATTATTTGTTATTTTATCATAACCCATGAAATTTGACTTGATTTACACCGACCGAAAAAAATAATTAGAAAAGGACATAGGCATCAGTTCATATCTCATAACCAGTCTGTGCTACATCGCCACCCACCCAGTCTACCATTTTCTAACCAATTTGTCTAACACTCTGTTTATGTTTATCTTATGGAAAAATTTACGTACCCAGTCCACGAGCAGCAACGTCTGTTGCTACTAGTATTGATCCTCTCCTGTTTCTAAACTCTAAAAGATAAGAAAAAATGAAGTGTGAAAATTTGCTACATTTTAATTTATAGCATAACGATAAAATAGCAAATATTTCATTTAACCTCTCAATACATAATCGCGTTCTTGTTGAGATTTATCGCCATGCATACATACTGCAGGCCATCCATACCGCCGAATATTTTTTGTGATGCTTTCTACTTTTTTCTTTGTTTCCACAAAAATAATGGTTTTGCCGCCATCATCATTGACATTACCGATTTCTTGAAGTAACGTTCCTAATCTGAATAACAAAAATAATCAAGTACTTTAGACTAGAGCATTTTCAGATATCAATAAGTTTGATTATGGAAAAATAATCAGTTCTTCTTAGAGGTATGTAAACGTAAATAAAATCAAAGTTTGTCATAATTTGTACTCATCACGTTAATCATAAGATATTATTTTAAAAAAATCTAGTATACTAACTTCGCTTCTTTTTCGTGTTCTTGACAGACATCAATGATTTGCAGTATATTGTGATTGGCACACAGCTGAAGTGAGCCAATATTGAGTTGAGTATAATCAACAAGATATTCTTCAGCTAAATTTCTAACTTCTTTGGGCCACGTGGCCGACCACATAAGAACTTGTCTATCTGGTCGGATTTGTTCAATGATTTTACGAATTTGAGGTTCGAAGCCCATATCTAACATTCTATCAGCTTCATCGAGGACTAGGTAAGTGCAGCGACGTAAGTTGGTGGTACCCCGTTCGAGGAAATCGATAAGCCTGCCTGGTGTAGCAATGACGATTTCCACACCACGTTCCAAATCGCGTGCCTGTCCGCCTTTAGGAGCACCACCGAAAATGCAAGTATTTCGAACATAGGACAACGATCCAAAATCAGAAGCTACTGTTTGAATTTGTTGAGCGAGTTCTCGAGTTGGAGCCAGAATAAGGGCAATAGGTCCATCGCCACGATTCAGAGGCTGTTGATTATTGATATGAACGATGGCTGGTAAAACGTAAGCCAAGGTTTTTCCAGATCCAGTTTGGGCAATGCCAACCATATTTTTGCCAGACATGGCAATTGGCCATCCCTGAGCTTGAATTGGCGTTGGTTCAGAATAACCTTGCTTTTTGATGCCTGTCAATAAAAAATTCATAGTATTGGTACAATTTTATTCATACAACTTGGCATGTAGTTCATGTAAATGATATGGCGAGCCAACTAAATTAAGTACCTTGCATTACGTATTCGGGAAAATTGCCTTCCTCGAAAAGCTGAATGGGATTGGGAAGCTTGTCTCCTTTGAGAGTAATGCTGTTGGTGTCCCTGAAACCCTGCACATCTCGAGGGTGACGACCGTGGACGGTCGGATGTGGAACATAAAAGTCCTTCTTGAAGGGTCTAAGACTCTCGTAATCCCAGTTGGGTTTTTTCAGGCCACTTCCGTTGGTATTGGGATTATTACCGAAGCCACCTGTACCGCCACCTTGAGGCCTCGAATACGGTTTGGTATTGGCAAAGCGAGGATTTCCACCGAAGCGAGAACCTGCGCTGCCGAAGCTGCGCTGCGGTCCTCCTGCACCACCGCCATTACGATAACCACCGCCCGAAGAAGAGCTTGAGTAAGTCCTGGGGAATTCAGAAAGGTATTGATTCAATAATTCAACATTATTTAAATAAACGTGATACGAGACTGAAGAGTGGGATCGATCGAACGCCTCGGACACTGCCACGTCATATCATTAATTAAGAGTAAAAAGGGGTCTGTTGTGAGCCTTGAGAATAAAAAGAATCCAGACATTTATACGTGTGGACACCGAAGGCAGAGGCTCACCCTTAATATTCCTCCTACAAGCATTCATGCCCCATCGATGTACAAAATGGAGTCATGCCAAAATAGGAGGTGTACGCGAGATCAAAGGCAGGTCGTTTCAACAAACGGAGGAAAAGGAATAACAATACTATTCTAAGCCTTTTACCTGGGGGCAATTAGAGAAATGCCACGGGAGAGAAAGTGACTTAGAGTACTGTTAAGCTTCAAAATGGATGCCATATTCGTCTCTCGCTCGCTGCCACCCACGTTTGCTATATCGATGTCGACACGACGAGCCCGACAAGAAAAAATAAAAAAAAACAGATGTGATTATGCAAAAAAAAAACTCACATGCTTGAAAATTGAGTTGTCCTCTTTTTCTTGTCTTTTCTCAGTAAATTCTGCAAAACGTGCTGCTAATTGTTGCTGCAGCTGTTCGATACTCACGATGCTTGGAAAAAAAAACAAGATGTCTGCGGCTGGATTTCTGTAACAAACGAGAAGTCGAAGATTCGGATTGAAAGTAATGCTGTGAAGTTGTATTGCAAATTGCAACTCGCAGCTGACGATTAGAGAATTGCAATATCAACAATGAATGGGTATGGATAATTAAGCGCAGCTGTCAAACAAAAGAAATGTTGCAAAAATCACGCGATGTCGTAGGAGCACGTTTTTCGCAACGACAACAAGATAAAAAGGCCAATATATGTACTTTCTAGAAAAGAATACTGCGGAGAGTGGAGAAGTTTGACTTACCCGTGCCGCGATTGAGGACGGAAAGGCCTGCTTACGGTGTTGGGCGCTTTAACGAGAACCAGAGAGGTTGGATGTGGACGAGGGGTGGGGTACAAGAGACGGGGAAAAAAGGTTGCAGATGGGCGGTCCCACTGTCTTGACGTAGTGACTACACTAGTCAACTGCTGATTGCTACCCAATAGAGCTTTATCGATCGAGTTCTGTCTTCAAATCATATAATTCATGTATAAAATGCAATACGTTTATTGTTTCTGATTTTCCATACAACGTCAACGTGCAGTTTATAATACTGTATAAAAGCATCGATGTACGAATACAATATACACACTTTTTTGTATTGGATCTTTCTCGCACCTTCGTATGGTAATGTCGGTGACCGTAGTCGCTCAACTGTCGAGTGTTGTACTGTCTGTATGTAATATATATACTAATAAATAAATTATAAATTATAGTGCGCGCATGCGCACATTTACGATTTTATATTGATTTCCAACATTTTCCCCATTGAAAATTCACATGAGATTCGTGCGAGGCTTTAGCTCAGAGATGCTAGAGGCCCCGGAGGAACGAATCTATTATTGGAAAATATGTTGCTTATCGGGAATATTTCACAAGCGAGTGTCTCAGCTGTATGTACAGTTATAGTCATAGATTTGGAAGCTCTAAAGCATGCATAATCAAAAAGTTCATATCGGTCATTTGGATTTTCAACAATAATACACTGTAATTATTATCATTTGTGGAATTGTTTTATTCGATCTATAGATATTATTATTATTGCAATGCCATAAGAGAATATATTATAATAAAATGGCTCATGCTCAGTGCACCTCATATAGTTGGCGACGTAATGCAGTTACCCTTCTGAATTTTCCTCGGCCCTAAGCAAGGGTTTTCCCATAGGAACCTTATATATACATACGTATAGTTTCTTTTAAACGAAGGGGGCGGAAACGGATAAACGTTTTGAGCAACATTTATGCGTAAAAGCCGTACTTAATTATGACGCTCGAGAACAGATAGCGAATAAATAAAAACGATAATCTACAATTACGTGAACAATTTTTTGTTACGTACTTAACATTTTTAGATCCTTCGTTGAACAAATGTTAAAAGTTGTCAAGCGGGGAACAATGACTTCGGGGTGCTATCGTACGTGACAAAGAAAACGATACTTACAAGTATATTGGATTGATTGTGATGTTGCACTTTAACGTCTGAACGTTTGGTCAACATTTTAATTTTATCGATTTTATCATGTAAAAACTGATGTATTAAAAAATCCATACACGAACACCTTATTTTACAACGTATGCATCAGTGGGTGATAAATGGGAAGGTATTGAAGGAATTCAATATTTATTAAGAAGAAAAACACATTTTCCATTGAAATTGTAGTTCATTTATTTTCTATTTATAATACTGTATAACATACAAGAAATGCACTTTAGTGAAACCTACAGAAGAAGAGAATCTAAAATTAATTATTTTATTTATAAAATCCCTTTTCTGCATCCCGAATCATCTTTATTATTAATATTTGTTAAGCTTTCAGTTACAATTTTGAGTGATGTAGCAACAACTTTCTCATACATATTTTTTCTCGCCAGTTTTATCAGTGAAGATTTTTCGTTTAAATCTTAAATAATGTAGTTTAAAAAATGGTTTTTGAGGAAGATGAGCAAAAACTTAGAATTTTTAAACGTCGCAACAAGGAGTTTTTGATAATAATTGTGATGCAAACTTTTCAAAATTGATATTTTCCTTACATTCAAGTTGAGATAAAATAAATCTAATGAACCCACGTAGCTGCTGTACAAACTTCAGTTCAGGACATTCATATTTTTATTTTATTGACGTCACTTGGTTTATTTTGAAAGATAAACATTTTCATACTTAACGTTGCTTTCCAAATTTTGTTAATTATTAATTTTTCTCTCGAGTATGAAAAGTAAACACGCATTAGACGAGAACAACCGACTGTTCTCTACATAACTGTGATTGATTTTTATCCTTTACTTTATTATTTTTCATTAAATAATAATTTGACATATGTTGCTCACATTTTTCTATTATTAAACTAGTATCAAATATAAAAACATATTGGCCCGTCAAGTCTGCTCTATTTACACGATATAATACCTCTTTTCATGCTATCTCTTTCTCTCTATTAATTCTTGTTTGCATGTAATAATATCACGTTATTAACAATAGTTTGATTGTACCGAGCAAAGCAATTTTTGCTCACAAAGTTTTTCTCCCTCTTTCTCTCTCTCTCTTTCTTCATAAACATCTTACTCAACTTTGAAAACTTTCACCATATTGTTTACTGGTAATAGTTCAAAGATTCTTCTGAGAGAGTAAAAAAAAATTATACGCTTTAAAGTCATTGCGAGGCTTAAATAAATATTTTTTAAATGTTAATTTTGACTAGAATCTGGCGTGTCGTCTTTTATCTCAAAAAAAATTTTAATGGGCGACCTTTTATCAAGATTATTTCTCGTTATTTTACCTTTAACGATAAAAAGCTGGAAAAATTAATTTTTATCTATCAACAGTCACACAAATCGTAATACGTATGTTTAAGAAAGTACACGGCATCAGTTTAAAATAATTATTCGAAATGTTTTAGTATAATCGTAATGTATTCAACAGCCTTTAGAAAAAACTGAAACGTTTTTTTCGATGTTAGTAAACTAATAAACATCTAGTATCATCATTGTGAAACTTGAAAGTTGTATAAATTGTTATTATAAAAAATTACGATGACCAAGTGAAACGTATTTTTGTAATAAGTGTCAACTGGAACCAGTGCAGAAAAATATTTAGTACGCTTATTTCCACATTGATACTAGATCGATTTTTATTACATATTTTACGACGAAATGAAATGCATACGAAAATTTACTGTAAAAGTGTGTAAAAGAATCGAAATGCTGTTTGATAAATTACAAATATCGTTGAACTTTCTTTATGGTTATACTAAAAAAATTTCTCATTTCAAAATGATGCGTACTTCTAACAATCGTAAACAAAATACATTTATGTACTGTCTCAAATTTTTATATTCTCTTTAACTATGACAATCAATTTTTATCGGTTATTATTAAAAATAAAGTTCGTATTGTTACTAAAAAATCAGTTGAATTTAAAAGCACATAAACTTGAAAATTAGTGTACAACTCACGTTTATAGACGTAACTTTAAAATTTAACGGAAAATTCAGTCTTCAGTGTTTGAAACATTTCAATTTTAAACTATTTGATATTAACATGTTTTACAAAGCTTTCATTGCCTTTACTAAATATTAAAAAAATAATACATCTTTCTCTATGCAGTAATACTTAGTATTCAAAGTTGCAAATATTTTTGCACGAATTCTCATAGAACTTTTTCTTCTATGTAATTATCACAGCATTTGGTATAGTATTATAACATAACAACTAAGATATATTTGTTTCAATACAAAAGTTTAACTTTGATGAAAATAATGAAAACTTGGTTTTATCGATTGTTTACGCAATTGTCGCCTCATCTAAATTTAATTATTATACAACATATCGGTTTGAAGCAAATCATAAATATATTGTAAATAAACGTATTAGTTTATGCATAGACAAGGTATCATTTTTATCAAGCATAATGACAAAATTTTTTTTTTTTTTTTTT